GAATTCGTTGTAAGAGGATCGAAAGCCTGAAAGTTGTGCCTGAATGAATCACGAGAAGAAAAAAAAAGCTCCCTCTCCGGAATGAGTTTTACGAAATGTAAATCCGCAAATGTTCCCTTGAAGGAAACGATACTTTGCCGAAAATGCAGTTGTTGCTTTGCCGTTGGCACTGAGGCTTCTTTTTTTTTTAAAGAAGTTGCTGTCGCTTTTGGAGCCGAAAAGAAGCAGGTGTCGACACGCGTCGCAGCGCGTCGACACCATTGATTGACGAGTCCCTCGGGGAATCGACTCTCAGCTTATCTCTCCGCAGTCAGCCTTTTTTCTCGTTTCTTCGAATGACAACAAATCCCAAGACGGAATCCCAAAATAAATCCGTTCCTGATGGACGGATATATAATTCGGATCTATCGGGGAATCCAAGAATTCCCTGCTAGCCCCTTTTTTTTCGACGTTTTAAACCGACGGAAACCGACATTTGAAAAGGGAAATTGAATCGAATTAGCATGCGGGTCTTAAAACTAATTTTTCGAAAGTTCAACGTGTGGGAAAGAAAAATTCGATTATAAATGCAGGGTAAAATATAAATTCTGTTATCTTTCTGAAAGGAACAACTGATGATACCTTTCGCGCATTATTATTGGAAACTCATCAGTTGTACCTTTAAACGTTTGAAGCGATAAAAGCATGTTTTCTTTAGATGAATTTCATATCGCTGCGTGTTCCATTTTCTTCTACTTTTCCCGATGAAACACTCGCGATAACTTTCTCAAGTAATCGCGAATGGTCCCGCTTATTTTGAAGAATCAACATCACAAACCACAATCATGGGACCACAGCTCTTGAAACCTGTGAATACATTAGTTTTGTTTTTGTGCTTAACGGGTTTTGAAAATCCGTCGCAAGCTTTCAAAATACAAAATAAAATAGCGCCAGTACAACTGGAAGTACCGGGTTATGGACCAGTTATCGGCGTTGAAGGAACTTCGTTCTTGAGTGGCAGAAATTTCTGGGCTTTCGGAGGCATTCCTTATTCCAAAGCCGGTCGGTTCGAGGTACTGTATAAAATTATAGGAATAGCTAAACCACGAGTAAATTTATAATATTTTCTTGAATAAAAGCAATACTAAAAATTATAACAGACCTATTGTTATACGGTATACTAAGAAGCCCTCTTCGCAAAAAAAAGTTGACCATCAGCAAGCCAAGTACTGTACAGTATTCTGCAGCCTTCACTATCGTACTTCAATGCGTTTATTTGAAAAAAAAATGATTTAATCTCTGATTCAATCTCATTTAATCTCTGAAGTGATTAAATGTCATTGAGTGGATTTGGGCTGGTTGGGAAGGGGGTTTGGAGTGGGGGTTTGGTTGTGGAAATCTTGATTGAACCTTGTGAACACTGAAAAGCGGCAAATAAAGTGCTCTGTTCATTCATTCATTCATTTAAAAAAAATCTAAAATGCATGATAATGAAGAACTTCTTCTAAAAATGTGACCCCATTCAAAATTACTACAATTTTTATGAATGGTACGCATAGAAGCGAGCAAAAAGAGGCCTAAGTAATTTTTTTTACAAACTTGATTTGAGATGCCATTGATGATTTATTTCTACCGTTATATGTATATCATCTATTAATTTTCAGAGCAATCGAAAGATTGAAGCAGAATGAATGTCCGTTCTTTTATTACTCAATGTGTTCATGGAAATTGTATCGGAAATATGCATTCAACGATCATCAGAATTGTTCGTTTCCTACTGTTCTGAATTCAGGCCATCGAATCCTGGGAATAATACGAAAATAATGATCAAAAAGAATTAGTAATCAACAAAAGAACAACGTCATCCTGAGTGGTTGTATGAAAATCCTTCAAAATGAACCCCCAAAAAATTAGCAAGATCTTCACACGATTCTCCTTGAACTTGCTGATGAGAGACCATTTGAATACTTCCTCTCTATTTTTTTATTCAATTCAGATCAAAATCTGGAAATAATAATACAATTAGCAGGGTTCCAAAATTGGATTCAACTTTATTAAGCTTATTTGTGGAATTCTGTATTAGAGACTCATTCGTGTTCACGGATATTCATGCTGCTTTTAAAAATCTACGGATAATTTCTGATTAATCATCCTCATTAATTTCCTTTTTTACGCATTTAAATTACTGTACAATCATTGTGCTACGGTGGTGAAGTTAATTGATATCATATGAGTTTTAATGCATTACCTCAGAAAATTTAATTGATAGACCAAATTATTCTGAACAGTCTATCAACCTTAATAATATGGGTAAAATGAGATTTCCGCACGGCGCGCGCTAAAATGAGAAATATGCCCCTATTGCGCTTCATATATTGAATCAATTCGCATGATTATTAAGCTAATTATTTATTTCCATGATCTCGCAATACAACGACAATCAATAAGGATTTTGTTGATCCTGCTCCTTGGACCGAGCCGTTGGATGCTCAGCAATACGGAAATGCCTGTTACAGCGCCGGAGGAGCAGTGAACCCAGCGGAGGACTGTCTACTCGTCAATGTCTTACATCCACGGAGGCGGTTACGTTTTCGGCGACGGAAACGTCGACCCTTGGTATTTTATCGACAGGGAGGAAATTGTCTTCGTGTCTTTCAACTATCGTCTAGGATCCTTGGGTGAGTCGGAAATTTCCCCTTTCAAAGCATTAAATAGGAGTGAAAATCGAAAAAAATAACGGAGTTTTTTTTATTTAAAAGGCACGTCCAGAAATTACTGGATAAAATTGACTCAAATGACCGGACATAAATACAGTATTCATCTTAAAATACTTTGAATCTTATACTCTACATAAATTGGTAAAAAGCTTTTTTAGTCTTGAGATTTGCATAGAAACGAAATATTTATACATTGCCACATATACTCTATTATAAAGTTGAAAAATTTAAGGAATGAAACAAAAACTGTGCAGTATTCGTAACATTCAAATATTGCCTCTTTGAGTATTTGGAAAGAATGAAACGTTCAATGCTAAAAAGAAACACACGATACTTTAAAAAAAAAGCCGTTTTCATCCCCCAAATGTGGAAGAACAATCATCCGGCATATTATGGTCTGTATCTAATAAAATGTTATTTATTAACTTAAGCCAATTGATTTTAAAGTAGAATTAGTTGTGAGTATATTATTGAGCTTTATATTTACGTAACACTAAAAGGAGTAATTTTATTCAGGAATGAAAACACGTAATTCTTCCTATATATCTAAAATGGGTGTATCAGATTCAATAAAAATCATCTCTAGAATATTTCTTTCAATGACGAAATCCTCGATATTTGATTTTCTTTTTTTGGCAAAAAGTTAAAACACTTGTGACTGCTGCAAGAAGAAAAACTTATAATGTTTCATCATTTCTAATGATGCTATAGGTCACGAAATGATGAGTTAGGAGAAGGTATAATTGTTAAAAACTTGTGATTAAGACATGTGACAAGTCCAGGGTTAAATTGTGTTTGTCATTAAAATAGTTGATCAGATTAATTTTGGGCGTCAGTTTCTATAATCTTTTGAAATTAACGCGCACAGAGACGATAAGAAGGCAAGTTGTTTTCCTCTCATAGATGTCACTAACGTATATCTGTTCGGGTTGCACATACATTTTTCGTCACAGGAATTGAATCAAGTATAAAATCACAGGATACACGTGAAACCTCTTCTGATACTCTGAAAATTTTGTGAGTGATACATCGAAATAATTCACCAAGATTCAGTCCAACATGCCTGGCAATATTCACGCATTCGCAAGAAAATTTCCTGCAAATTCGAAGAAAAGTTTTAAAAAAAAACGATTAAAATCGGCAAAATTTTTTTTCTCAAGGATTCGCATACTCCGATCATCCGTCGATAAATCTCAGTGGAAATTACGGAATCAAAGACCAAATCCAAGCCCTGAAGTGGGTTCAGAAGACAATCAGTGCCTTTGGAGGAGACCCGAATAATGTTAGTATAATCGGGGTCAGTGCAGGTGGATCCAGCGTCCACGACTTGCTTCTGGTTCCACATGAGACCCAAGGTTCGTATCCATTTTATTTTTTTTTGGCGAGTTCGCCTCCTTGAACAGAGAAGAATCTTCTGAATACCGAAAAGAAAAAGAACCCGTTTTTTTTCATTTTTCAAAGGACTGATTCATAAGGCGATTAGCGTCAGTGGAGCCGCATTGTGTCCATGGGCGATTCAAAAGCGTCCGAATGAAAATTTCTTGCAATTGGCGAAACTGAACGGATGTTTGGAAGAATCTGCAGTGGAACCAAATGCTGAAGCTTTGGAATGCATCAAAGCCTTGGATGCTGAAACGTTGGCTACTGCTTGGTGGCCCCAATTATCAGTTGAGTCAAAGAAAATAATAATCTAAAAATATATTTCAGAATGAATCCCTTTGCAGCATGCTATTTTTTTTCATATCAAGTGTTTAAGACCGCCATAGCTTTAACATAGATGCTGCTAATTAATGAATCCATTAGTATCCTCCGTGTTTCAGCAATGAAAACTTCAGAAACCATGCGTTGAATTTTGATTTTTGAAGTCCTTGTCATTGAAACGTTAAAGTGTAAAGAATATATGCTAGTTGATTCATTCGTGAATCCTTCTGAATAAAATAAACACAAGTACCAATCTTGTTACTCAAGAGTCAAGATGCAACCAGTGAAGCATAATATTTTTTTATACATATTACAATACATTTTTCACTGAAAGAAGTGTTGAGTAAAGCCCAAACAAAGAAGAGGAAATCGAATATAAATAAGACAAACACACAATCTGCTGGGAAACTTGGCAGGGGATACTTTGTTGAGTATCCTAAAAGAGTAGAACAAATTATTTCCAGTAAGATGATGAATTAACAAAAACTAGAGAATTTTCAGCAGGATCTTGGATGCTAGGAATAATAAAAAACTTCAACTGAACAATTTTCTCAGAAAATGGAGGGCTGAAAAGGATTGCACAATGGGGGAATCCCAACAGGGAATTTCCCCGTTAGAGTTTTATGTGTTCAGGTTTTTGCATGCTGAACCGGACTTTAATGTAAGGCCACATTTGTGCCTTACAAGTAGCATGGTTTATGGACATATTCTAACCAATTAAAACAAATAACTCAAACTTGTTATTGTTCAAAAATGCAAAAAAATTCCAGTGCTGGAGATTTGCGCTTCAGTATCAATATAAGGTTCCTGAATTTCCCACAAAATGAAGTTCGATTTTTGAGCGAGCTCCATATGGCGTCACATGCGCACAAAAAATAAAATGGCCACCTTAATATAACGACAAATGTGAGCCACCAAACCACGTGTTTGACACGAGATTTAAAGTTCAGTTCTATTGACCTTATTATTTCAGTTACACGCGTTTCAAATGAGAAAAATGCGGGAAATCAAGTATTGTAAAGCGAAACTTTTGCGGGCCTTCAAAACATGTGATATAAATGCAAACGTTGAAAGGCGCGACAAATGTTTCCACGGTTGTTGAGAAAACTGATTTGTAAAAATTTATTATATTTTAGAATCGATATTCGCTACCATTCGTTTTTGTGCCGGTGGAGAACGATGGAGATATTTTCAAAGGAACGAAAGAGCAGATTTTGTCATCTGGCAGCTTTTTGCAAATCCCTTGGCTGGCTGGTAATGCGAGGGACGAGGGCTCATTAATCGTCGGAGGTATATATGATGACATTTTATTTCTCAGCTGTATAACTACGGTAATTAAATTGCATTTTTTTTAGATTCTCTCTCCAGTCAAAGTGCCATGGATTATTTGAGCCTAAATTGGCAGGATCTGTGCCCTGGGGTCATGGATTTGAGTGGAATTATCGACTCCGCAGAAGTGACGAGACTTTGCGAAGAAATCGCTTTCCATTACATGGGGAATGAGCAGATATCGTTCGACAATTACTACAATTACTTGCAGGTTTCCGAACTCACGTTAAATTTTTAATTTAAAACTATCATTGAAAAAAAATCACGACACAAATTTTTATCTTCTTGACAAAAACGCTGCGAACTTCACCCATGCGGATGGTCTTTTTTTTTTTTTTTTTCGAAATGTTTTCAGATGGGAGGCGACAGATTGTTTGAAGTTCCGATGCAACGAAGTGCAATTTTACATTCAAAATTCGCTCCATTTTACGGATACAGATACAATTACCAGTCAATTGCACGATCCTACTTGAACTATTTCAATGCTGGAATTCCGGATGATGTTCCGCATTTATCATCTGGTTCGTTAAATATTGAGAACAAGGGTTTCGATCATAAATTGATTTTCCTGTTGCTTGGATTTCAGGAGTTTTTCATGCAGATAATTACGCTTTAATTTTTAATGGAGGGAACTTCATCATTCCCGGAGATGCAGACGAGTTCGTGCAAAATTTACATCTTGGGTCTCTGCTGAATTTTATCAAAACCGGGTGAGTATTCGACATATATGGGGATGGATCTGAAATGAAATCTTCATTTGTGAATTCGTCAATGCAATTTTGTATTTTTTATCGAAAATTACAGTACTTTATTACCCCAAATCTATCTCCTAACCTCAGTCAAGAACTTTCAAAAACCTGGCCCAATTTGTTTTCCAGAATGCAGCGTTAAAATATGAAAATGTTGAACCCTGTTCGGGTGTGAACTTTACTATACCATTGACAAGATGCAAATTCATTCAAAATTTTCTAGTGTACCGACGATTCCGACAAATCTGGTGGACTATGACCTGGTGTGGCCAACATTTTCCGAAGATGCGCCGAATATTCAAGTCATCGACACGTTTCCAAGGACCACAAAAAATTTTGTTGGGAAGGCTGAAGACGAATTTTGGTCTTCTTTGGGACTTTGAACGAAGACAATTTTTCTGAGGAAAGAATTAATACAATCATGATGACCTTTAGTCGATTACATGCTTTAATCCAACAGTATTTCCAATGAGCAGAATGAAATAAGTTTCCTCTTTTTTTTCAGGGGAAGATTAAATGGACGGGTTGAAAACCCGGACGAACGTTACAGAATTCAAGGCGGTTTCGAAATACAGAATTTTATAATACCGGTGATATTTTTCAGTCTTATATATTCAGTCAATAGGAGGATCTTTCTCGCCAGAAGGTAATAACTCTGAAACATGAAATATATCTTCTAAAACAACTCCTGAAATTTCTGAAGAAGCCTAACAATTCATCCCAGTATAGAAATACTGGGTTACGGGCGCATTGGCTCTACGGAGTTTTCGCCTTCAAGTGAGAGGAATTACTTCGCTTTCAAGGGAATTCCCCATTCAAAAGCAGCTAGATTCGAGATGACATCAAGCGTTAATTATCTGTTCCATATATTTGTCAATTTAAAATTGTTTTGATTGAGGAAAACGTTTTCAAGAACCAGAGTCCTGATGGACGGAGCCTCTGGATGCACTCCTTGTTATGCAAGTTGCTCTATTCTTTCCCTCGCCAAAAGTTGCATTTTTTATTGGCGTTTGAAAAAAAAACATCGCTGGAGGTTTAAAAAACGGAAAGCTTTGAATTACAAATTTAAAAGTAAAATTACATTTAATTTGTTCATTCAGCTACAAATAAAATATGCCCGGCGTCGAGACAGTCTTTCTGTAAACTTTCCAAGAAACCTAGCGGACATTTTCTCTTTCGGTCAATTTTCCATCGAAGGTCATTTCACTACGACCTTCGAATAGGGCATCAGTCGAGAGAAAATTGAGTGAACTTCCATTCGAGGCATTTTATTCTTTAAAATCGAAAGCTTTAAAATATTTATTCATAAATTATTCACCATTTTCAAGTTGTTCCGATGACAGCCAGCGCATGAAGTGCCGCAGAAAAAAAAATCTGCAGTATTTTTAGGCAATTTAAAAAATTTTCGAATGCTGAAAACTTGCAGAAAAATCTGAGTACCTCATCTGTTCACATATTGCAGGAGTCTGACATGTGTCAAATACAGCATTGCTATTCTAACAAGGTGACTTGATAGAGGCCTGAGATCCCGATGAACAAGTACACAACTTCCATCTCAGGGCCTTCATGAACTTCATTCTCACATTGATGCTTTTCCGAGATAAAAGCTTTCCTTTTTTTTTACAGTGTCTGAAGACGAGAATTGCAAGCTGCGTCAAGGGGACTGCAAAGAGTTTTACGACTGCAACTTATACTGACCGTTATGGAGCTAAAATCGATAGGACACGCAAATGGTGCAAATTGTCGAGACGTTCCCGAGAACTGCGCAACGGTTCGTGGAAAAGGTAGACGAGGATATTTTATCATTCACGTTCAATAAAACTGCAATTTTTATCGAAGAAAAAAAGATGATTTCTTTCAGTTTCGACGCGCCTCCAATCAACAATTCATCTCGATTTTTTTCTGCGGAATATAAAATGGGTTTGCTGCTCTGTAAACCTCAGCAGATTCATTTTCACGTTATTAAATAATGTTTGAAAGATTCTCACACGCATCACAATTTGGCTCTTCGTTTATTTCGAAATCGAGGTCTCATATAATGCAAAATGAAAAAATTCAAGGACAAACACCAGTCTTTTGACAAATGTAATCAGCAAAACATTTCAGCCTCGTGAAAGCTGGGGGTTCAGGAGAATTGCAACCATTGGGTGAACCGAATGACGTGAGCCCGATTTGAACATATCTTTCATTCTCGATTTTCATCAAAGGGCCTCCAGAGTCTCCCTGGAAATTCCAGAAAGAAATTCAAGGTTTCCTAAAAATTGAAATTTTAAATTTTCAAATCAGTACTTCACAAACAGTATCGAAACCTCCATGAGGATCAACACACAGCATCGTGGGCAAGTAAAAGTGAAACATCGTGTTCGAGGCAATTTTGCACGACGACGGGGTCAGGGTTTTGGTGCTCAGCGATTTCAGGACTGAGCTACCAGCACCTTGAAGAAGGAAAATAATATAAAAGGAACAAATTCATTTCGCGGATACGGAAAGGATTTCATGAATTCAATTTCAGCAAACCCTTATTCGCGGTTAAACCCCATCCGGCAGTAACGCAATCCACATTCTCGTCCTGTGTACTTTTGCTCGCGAGGCAAACCGGCATGAAGTTTGAAACTTGACGAAGAAAAGATTTAGGTTTCATTATTTAAATTTTTGAGTCTTTCGAGGAAATGCAATTGAATAGAAACACAATTTTGACAAAACATGGATATCAGCTGAAAGCATGCTTCACAATTTCCTTTTATATATATGCCATCCATCGAACACTTCTCGACTCAATTCCTCTTTAACAGAAGAAAAGACCATACAATACTTACAAGACTTTGATATATCTTCGATTTTTATCAGTCCCAAATCATTTTGAATCTTGATTGAATCCCATTGATCATGGGTCATCCATTCTCGTGCTTTCAACCTAATCCGCGAATCTTCCCTGTCGAGTTTATTCAGGTCGTGTGCTCCGATCCAAACTTCAATTCCTGTCGTTTTAAAGTTTTTGCTGATGAGGAAAAAGGAGCATTTTTTTTTTAATCCACGGACTGTTTTATGCTGCGTAAAAAACAGGAATTTATTGCTAGAGAAACAAAGTGTGCGAAGAACAAGTAAGAGAAAAGTTAAAAAAAAACCATTTTAATATCCATGTATATTCTGTGATGAACCAATTTCACTTGACTTTATTCTTGTAGAAATACCTGTTGTCGCCAATGGGATTCGTAATTTCGAACTTTTTTACACATATTTTGATTGCTTGTGAATTCTATAATTATATTGATTTCAATTACGCCAAGTGACGCAAAAGCAAAAAAAAAAGCTACGTTTTCATTTTCCGAAATTTGCTTTTCTGAGGGTAATGGATGTGTTTCCAAGGAAGGGATTTCAGACATGGGCTCAACGAAACACGACACACAGGTTTTTGACTTGGAAAGATTTGAGTTATCAAGGTACGCGGCAACTTTATTTAAATACGCTTCTGAAAATAATTTTTATCTTTTGTTTTATTTTTTTTCGATACATATCGGCAACATTATTTCATGAATTGTTTATACTAACGAATCAAGGCAATGAGCAGCTGTTAGAATCCACGTTGAAGAAATGACGGAGCCACCACAGTTTGCTTCAGCTGAGTGAGTCGAGTTCACTTTGCCGAGAATGCGAATTAAAGCCTGCCATGGGTAGTAATCTTCCGAAGCTTGTTTACCGCCAATGATCCTCATTCTGTGTGATGCTACCCCACAAACTATGTCGAAAAAAAAAGAGAGCCAATCCAAAATAAGAACATTCATTCGAAATTTAATCACGAGATCTCGAACGACTTGATTTGCTGCTCATCGTCAGCTTCGTTTCCGACGAGGAATGATTCGCTTTGAGTCTTTCGAACTCTTCGACCTTGGCACGAACTTCCGGATTTTCCATGTCCAGCACCGGAACAACTTGAAGGAATCCCAATTCCGTTTTCCGCTATGATCACAATGAAAAGATGCAAGTTTCACAAAAATCAAAATGTCTGAACTGTGTAGCTTACGGTCTCAAATTTGATTCCATTCCGAGACGAACATTTTTGAAATAGGCCACACAGGATGACGATAGTCCATAGCAACCAAGCCCGGGAAAAATACATGCTTTTTATGAACACTGCGTCTCCAGCAGAAAAAAAAAATTACGAAATGATTAATTTCAAAGCATGATAATTGCTGCGGTCTGCTGATGAACTCGATCTATTTAAAAGACTTTCGTAAGGTTTATAATTATCAAGCATAACAAATTTCCTGCAAAATCTTTATTTATCCTTTAGTATATGTACTGTAGTATTTATATACTTTTTCAGGGAAAAGCCAGTGAGCACAGTATACATAACTAGGGAAGAACTCTGATTATTTGTGTGCATTGAAAGCTGCATTCTCTTTTTTGTTATCGCTTCCTGAGAGCTCCGAGTATATATTTTTTTTAATGTTCTTCTGAAATTTTCGAAAGCACCACTCCATGAACAAAGAGGACGTTTTTCTATATGACTACCTGTGAGTCATTTGACAAAGCGCAATGACGGATTTATATTTATCATAGGTTTCTTTCTTTTATAAGTGAGACATTGATATCGAATATCCTTCGATGAAAGTAAATTGAACGAGCTATAATTTTCAAAAGCTTTAATGTGAAAGCTCATCCCTTTCCGGAAGTTCAGCAACAGGAATAACATTTTTCATATTTTTTTGGTGACGCCATTCTGTTACAGTGCTCTACGTGTATTCGTGAAAATTTCCTGAATTCAAAGAAATTAACTTGAAATATGGCATCTAAGAATATTTCTATCGATTTTTTAAGGCGTTACGATCTTAGTTTCAGAAAAATGCCCTTCAATGCGATGGATCGGGAAGTCAAATGTGTGTTCTAAGAAGAGGACTTTTGATTGTTTGAATGCATCGTTGAAAGAAGTTAATTTGTGGTTTTAGTTGCCATTAACACGAAAAAGCTGCTTTCAGTACTTCAGATGTGTGTGTGCGTTTTTTTCTTTCTGAGACAACGCATATTCTCGCAAAAACAAATAAGAAGAATTTCGCAACACAAGTTTTGCCAGGACAGAAAAGACGTGGGTTTTATTTCGTTGATTAAAAAAAAGCCGTGAGCTCTAGAGACTCAGAATGTCAGAGGAAATCGAAAAGCCAAATAAAATGCAAGAAAAAAATATTCCTAGTCTCTGTATAGTCTAGTGGTAAGGCAGGCGACACTGAAGTTCCGGATTTTTAGCGGATGTAGTCAAAGACTGGGCGCAAGTTTCCGTCGGACTCCTGGATCAAGGCCACGGGTTGCGGCATTTCCGGAAGCACAACAGGCAGCACCTGGGGCCTGGCGGGTTTCACAAACACCTGCTCTTCTTCGCTGGGAATGGCACAGGGTTGCGGGGCTGTTGGCGTGATTGCGGGAAGCACCTGAGGACGCACTTGGGAAACTGGAAGCAACACCTGTGGCCTGTGAAAAAAATGCGATGGATTTGGATGAGAATTTCGTAAAAAATACAAAAACTTTGCATTGAATAGGACCTAGCACTATTTTTAGAAGCTGCTCAGAATGTAGTACGGTAAGTCTAATCCCAAATCCGGTAAAAATCTTACTATACCAAGAAAGCCAATGGAGCCCGTAATTTTTTTTTTTTTTTAGCTCATTTGTTATCAGGTACTGTAATTCAAATATTACGTCTATATTGTGCAGCAGGGACTTGGAAAAAGGCAGAAGCCGATGTAAGCAAGCATTTGTTGTAACTTTAAGCTTCTATATTATTTTACAATGAAATAATTTTCCAAAGAAAAATACAAGTATAAGCGCATTATATTGTGCAGCAGGGACTTGGAAAAAGGCAGAAGCCGATGTAAGCAAGCATTTGTTGTAACTTTAAGCTTCTATATTATTTTACAATGAAATAATTTTCCAAAGAAAAATACAAGTATAAGCGCATGCACCACGGAAACTTTCAGAAAAATCTAATTACAGTATTTATGAAGATGTAGACCTAAATAGATTTATTATTGAGCTTTTTACATGTTGACTGTGATTGGCTGATAAGTTGATTCTTGAATGTGCAATATAGGATATTTTCTATCCCTCAAGTTCCACGAATTGGAAGGGAGTTAAACAGTACAAACTGTATCTTGAATAGTCGGTAGTAACGCATTAATTGCAGTACGATTTCCCAATACGATCAAATCGATAATTGACGAATATGTGAAAATTCAAAACAAATAATACAAGTCATCTCTCCAATCAACCCCTAAAATTCTGTAAAATATGTGAAGTATCAAATGCGCCTCGTGCTGGTTTCTCCAGTCTAGGCATTACATTTAAATATACTTTTTCGATTTTTTAAATTTCGAAATGCCTCAGGCGCAGATAGAACAAAGTTTGATTCAGTATGAGCTTTAACTTGAAAAAGGGACAAAGAAACGGGAATCGAACAGCGAAATTCAAGTTTGGCATTTGTGTGTTACACAATTCAAGAATATATACGTGCTGACATCTGAACGCATAATTAATATAAAATAAATATTTCAGGAGTACCTGGTCCCCTCAACAATGTTTGGCCTGGTCTCAGGGCGGACTTGGATCAGGGGCCTGAAAGATGAAAAAAAAATCAGAGTTCTTGTTTTAATCCTATTGAAATTATCTTGAGAATTCAATTGAATATGCTTTGCATTAAGTTCATGCGTGATGAAAATTCTAGATAATTTAGTTATCAATTATTTACAGTATAGTATGTACCATGCATAAAAAATTGCGTGATAACTCGTACCTGGTCTCAGGGGCAACTTCAACAATGCTTGGCCTGGTTTCTGGGCGGACTTGGATCAGGGGCCTGTTATGAAAAATGGTAAAAAAAAAATTTAAATGAAAAATGCTCCCTAGGGTAGGAAAATTCTCCAGGATAAACTTGAAACCGTTTCAATTTTCATTCTGCTTAAGTTTCATCAACCCATCATCATATCGGAGAATCATACTGACCTGGTCTCTGGGGCGACCTCAACGATGTTTGGCCTGGTCTGGGGTCCAACTTGGATCAATGGCCTGAATATATTCGAATATTACATTATTTTTATATTGTGCAGCAGGGACTTGGAAAAAGGCAGAAGCCGATGTAAGCAAGCATTTGTTGTAACTTTAAGCTTCTATATTATTTTACAATGAAATAATTTTCCAAAGAAAAATACAAGTATAAGCGCATACACCAAGGAAACTTTCAGAAAAATCTAATTATTTATGAAGATGTAGACCTAAATAGATTTATTATTGAGATTTTTACATGTTGACTGTGATTGGCTGATAAGTTGATTCTTGAATGTGCAATATAGGATATTTTCTATGCAAACTGTATCTTGAATAGTCGGTAGTAACACATTAATTGTAGTACGATTTCCCAATACGATCAAATCGATAATTGACGAATATGTAAAAATTCTCAACAAATAATACAAGCCATCTCTTCAATCAACCCCTAAAATTCTGTAAAAATATGAGAAGTATCAGATGCGTCTCGTGCTGGTTTCTCCAGTCTAGGCATTACATTTAAATATACTTTTTCGATTTTTTAAACTTCGAAATGTCTCAGGCACAGATAGAACGAAGTTTGATTCAGTACGAGCTTTAACCTGAAAAAGGGACAAAGAAACGGGAATCGAACAGCGAAATTCAAGTTTGGCATTTGTGTGTTACACAATTCAAGAATATATACGTGCTGACATTTGAACGCATAATTAATATCAAATGAATATTTCAGGTTTACCTGGTCTGTGGGGCAACCTCAACAATGTTTGGCCTGGTCTCAGGGCGGACTTGGATCAGGGGCCTGAAAGATGGAAAAAGATCAGAGTTCCTGTTTTAATCCTATTGAAGTTATCTTGAGAATTCAATTGAATATGCGTTGCATCAAGTTCATGCGTGATGAACATTTTATATAATTTAGTTATCATTTCTTTACAGCTCTGTATATATACTATGCATAAAAAATTGCGTGATAACTCGTACCTGGTCTCAGGGGCAACTTCAACAATGCTTGGCCTGGTTTCTGGGCGGACTTGGATCAGGGGCCTGTTATGAAAAATAGTAAAAAAAAAATTTAAATGAAAAATGCTCCCTAGGGTAGGAAAATTCTCCAGGATAAACTTGAAACCGTTTCAATTTTCATTCTGCTCAAGTTTTATCAACCCATCATCATATCGGAGAATCATACTGACCTGGTCTCTGGGGCGACCTCAACGATGTTTGGCCTGGTCTGGGGTCCAACTTGGATCAATGGCCTGAATATATTCGAATATTACATTATTTTTCAGAAATGGTCTACGAATAATATGAACAAGCAAATCCTGCCACATTTATTTACAGTATACAGTATACAAAATCGATTCAAAATATCGTTTGAAAATATTAAAATATATTTCACCTGGTCTCTGGGGCAACCTCAACGATGCTTGGCCTGGTCTCTGGGCGGACTTGGATCACTGGCCTAAAAATATACAACGCGAAAACTTGAAATTGAAAAAAAAAACGTTACGTTGGAAATTTTCCATTTACCGACCTGGTCTCTGGTGCGACCTCAACCACGCTTGGTTTGCTTTGTGGCCTGGGCACGATGTTGATTGGGTAGAAACCAGCAGAATTGCCTGAGAGGTTTTTTTTAGAATAAGAAATAATCAATGATCCTTTTTTTCCTTTTGACCATTTCACTGATTTTAAAAGTCGAATATACCTTCTTCCAGGACTTCGACGATGTTGGGGTCACATGGGGCCTCTTCTTCCTCGATTTGTGGCTCGACAATGGCTGGACGGACAACTGGTGCTGGCCTAACTGGCCTGACGATCCCTGTTGGATAGAAGTTGAAGCCACCAGTGTTGACCTCCTGTTGGCCTCCGGGCAGGTATCCTGGGAGCAAGAAACTCCTGGCCTATAAAAAAATTAAGAACGTGATCGAAAAAGGGTGTATGTAGGTCATACTTTATATTTTCACATAAAAAGGGCGTCTGAATACAATACTCGGATGCGGCCTATGTTCGAGTTATTTGAAGAAGATGAAAAAAAAACCACACAAAAGCTAAATATATACTCGACGCTATGCGAAATCTGAAATCGAATCAACTTTTTGTCATTCATATGAGTACCCTTGTTTTCTGTTTGTTAATCTTTCAACTACTCTTTCTTCTGAATAATTGTCCCATGTATAGGCAGTATCCTCAAAAAGAGGCAGTTTTATTTATCAATTAAAAACAAAAATTCTGAGACTTACCATGATCTCTCAAATACAGTACAGTACAAGATAAATGCAATTATTGTTCTATTGTTTTATTGAAGTGATGCAAAAAGTTTGCCTGCTATGCCCATGATTTAATACGTTTTTTTCATAGTGAGAAGAATTACCGGATTCAAAGGAGTGTATAAACGTCGAATCTTAGATTATTTTAGGAGTCTGTACTTTGAGCATCAACTTGAAGACGCATTTTTAGGCAAATTTATGAAAATTTTCATTGCGAAATTCGAGTGCTCAAATTTCTCAAAATTCGGCGTTCAGTATTTCTTCTCATATATGTTTCATCAGATACCAGTCTGATATTCAGACACTTTTTTCATACAAATCAAGATTTCAAGTCTTTTAGACTTAATTCACACTCCGGATATAAGGTTGTGTCAGATGCACAAAAAATGTATTTATTCCTGCGAATTTAACACGACATGATATTTAAAAGACGATTTGCTGAAAGAAATTTTCGCACACGCGAAGAGCAATGTACTGTACCTCACTGTCTCTTAAATGCGGTACGGTATTGTATTTTAGCTATTTCCCCTATGAAGAGTCGTATTTTTCTTTATTGACCAAACACTTTTTGGCATTCTTTAATTTTTAATTCTAAAAATCATTGCATGAAATTGTGGTATCGACTATAAATTTCAAATAGCCTGCACTCATGTTCATTTGGCGAAATTATTGAAGATTTTCAGTTGAACAATCACAAAAATCTCATAATACATCACCGTTTGCTCAAAAATTTACATTGGCTGAAACGGAAAAAGTTCTTCCCACAAAATTGGCTCACACAAGTCTTAATCGATAAGAGCACCCGAAGATTTAAACAAAAATTGGAGGGGAATACAATTAATTCTTATTGTATGATCTATTGTCGATTTTCGATTCAACAATTATGCTACAAAATGTCAACTCGGCAAAATATATAAACAGAAAATGTATGCACTCACATTGGCGGTGGCAACGAGTGCCAAAACGGTCAAAGCAACGAACTTCATTTTTTTCCGGGAGGAGCTTCGAAAATTGAATTAAGAATAAAAGCTGTTTTCAAGATCTACCTGTAGAAAGCTTTCTAGACCTGTCGAGTTCTGCCTTGGAATGATTTTCCCTCGATCCAAGTCTCGGATTTTATACGAAATTTCAAGTTGGAGATTAGGAAAAGAATCTTCGAAATATTCCCGTATCTTTCTTCTTCGGGAGGTGGCAACAAATTTTGCGGCTTTTGCACGCGTTACAATTTGGACAAACTTGTTGACGTAAAACGGTGTAGTATACGTGTATAGAGTGACATAGAAGCACGTATAAGGCGTCATTGCGGCTGCTGTGATAAGACGACGAGAGGAATGTGTATATAGGGTTATATTTGAGACACATGTTGGGAAATTCGATCATAAATTAATGAAGGCCTATCTGTTATTTACGACCACAGTATATGACAAGATTGGAGTCATGCGCTGAGATTTCGGTGCAAGACGCAAGATTAATGTCGCAATGGAGTGGCAATGTTGACGTGGATTACGTTTTATCTGCTCATTTGCACCATAACGACAATTTGAAATTGATTTAGCGGATGTTTGCTTAATTTTTATATCGTGAAAGTGTACGTTACTGATATACTCACGACAGCACATTTAATTGATGCGTTTTCTATTCGGTCCGTAGATTTCGGAAAAGGATTTTGGCGAACATTTCCAGGAGTCCAAAGTTTTATTCAAGGTATTCGCTCCCTGGAATAATTTTAATTTCAATATAGCAAGGGAAAACTTCAGTCTTAGAAGATGTTCATCGTAGTCTGAAAATATGTGCTCCTTCGAATTATATATGATCTTGTCGGAACAGAAATTTTTCATATACAAACGGCTCGTAGGATGTTCAGTAAACATCTTGGTAAATCGAAAGCACATAATCGATTTATTTATTTGTCAAATTAGATCTTATAAAAATTAGTGTACTGGAAATATTAAAAATCGATAATTTTTCATAAAACTGGGTTTTTTAAAGAGGAGTTTGCTTCAGTTTATATTTAATTTTAAAAAAATTAATGTCCAAATATTGGAGAAAGAAATCTTGGAAAGGAAGTCTGGGAATATTTTTTAACTTATACGTTGCTTATAACTGATGATTGTTGATATGAATAATTTAGAGCAGACTCAATTGCAAGATTAGTACAGAGTGCAGTAATGAACTTGGAAGTGTGTTCGAGTTTTTTATTGCATATGTTTGTTAAACTTCATAGATCAGTGTTCCCTAATCCATGGTCCGAAGACCGGTGTAGGAGTCGCGAGCCTCCGGGTAGGCAGGAGCGTCCGGCCGGACACTCTCACCTAGTTGGGAGCGTCCGACCCCCAGTCCGGAGCGTCTGGCCCCCAGCAGTCGGGAGCGTCCTGCCGCCAGTCGGGAGCGTCCGGGATTGAAAATTCTATACAGTATTATGAACTTTTTACAGTCCCAGACAAATTAAATAGTACAGAACTATAGACACAGGTTGGAAGCATGCTAAATGATGAAAGTTATTAAAAATCTTACAGGTTTAACCAGCTTTTCCATCTGATGGAAGCTTAACTTTCTGGATGTACTTTTCTCAACCAAATAAGGGTTAAGTAATAAATACTGCTCTTCAATTTTTCATTTCAAATTCTTCAGTAATAATCTTCCTACCAATAACAACATTCATCAACTTAATTATTATAAATGGCTGCAAAAGGATATGAACAACTGTGTAAAAAGATCATCCTCTATTTGGAAGAAGGAAGGTACCACAAGGAAGTGCAGAACAATAATGAAAAGAGGGTGCTCCAACGTACAGCAGCTTCCTACATGATGCTGAACAACCAGTTGAATTACCAGTAATAATTTTTTATTTTTCAAATATCAATTCAGTACAAGAAATGCAGTTGAATATATTGCTACAATGAATCTGGTTATAACAGGTTTTTGTTTCAACAAATTTTTTGAATGGTCCCAGCAATTTTTCCTTGAAACCAATGATACAGATTAAATTCTGCTAAAACAAACTTCTGGGGACCTTAGAAAAAATCCATTTTAATGGAAAGTTTGTGACATTTTCAACTTACAATTTCAGAGTAAATAGTAGTATTCTTGCAGAATTGATGATTTATTACAGCAGAAGGAGAAAATTCATGTTGTTGCATTCATAAACAGAATGAAAACTTTTGAGCAATAAGCTAAAAAATTTAGTGAAATATAAGGTTAAATAAATAAAAATTGCCTAAAAATCAATTTGCTATCCTGAATCTTCAAAATTTGTTATAATGAGATTACATTAACATTGTCAACAGTGTTTCTGTCAGGACCTTCAAAAAATTTTGTTATAACACTATTTGTTATAATGGAATTTGACCTGTTTTAGAAATTATAAAAAATTATCTTTATGAGAAATTTTCAAAACAATGCATTTTGAGCCATATTTTTGATGCACTGAATTTTGCTTGTTTTCCTATATTTTTTGTTCTTTAGATACCCTGAAGTGAAAAAGGTCAAAGAACCCACATATTTACCAGGAATATGTGAAAATCCAGGAAACCACTTCAACCAAGTTTTTTCTGTTTTTAGGGACATTTTAATATAACTAAATTAGAGTATTTTTGCTGCTGTACACACTTCATGCTTTCTTGATAGTTTGTGAAAATGTTTTGTATACTGCTGCACAGCATATCTGGGCAGCAAAAGCTTCAGATATTTTTTTTTTATCCCCGGACATCCCTGACTGGGGACAGGACGCTCCTGACTGGGGGCCGGACGCTCCTGACTGGGGCCCGGACAGTCCTGACGGCGGCAGGAATGTCCAACCGGACGGTCCCGACTAGGTGGGACTGTCCGGCTGGACGGCGGACGCTCCGGACTGCCACACCGGCGCCAGTCCGTAGAAGATTTTAGCCAGCAGTTCACGGGAAATTTTTGGGAACATTGCATATATTTGTTAAACTTCTCCAAATTTATCAAAAGTATTAATGAAGCCTTCTCTTTATCCAAAAATTTGCAGAGACAATTGCAGATTTGAAATTATATGGTGAACAAGTAAAAGTTGGCTTTTTCTCGCATAACTAATACTTTGGATGAATTCTTGCATGCAGAAATAATTTATTTTAATTTTTAAATTCTGAAAATCCTTTCTTCAAGCCGACCTTCCTAATTTTTTGGAGAAATTTTCGCATATATACTTGTAGCTGCTTCATTAGTGCTTAATGTATTTTTTTTTTTACAAAAAAGCAGAAACTTTTTAACCCTTGTGTGGCAAAGTTGGGATATATTTGCAAAATTTTGTGTCACTGAGAACTGTGAATTTTAAAAATGCAACTTTTGTACCAAGGCCTGAGTTGGGAAAAAGTCCAAGATTTTTTTTTAATCCAGCAAAAAAATTTTCATGACAAATAAAAAAAATCCCTCTCTGGGTGGCATTTTTTCCTGCATTCCTGATATAGGATCAGCATGGAAGAGTCCTGAAAACAAAAGAGAATTTGCCTCCCAGATTTTTCCCAACTTAGGCCTTCTCAACCTGGGAGCACTTCAGCAACCTTGGGTCAAACTGAAATGCTCCACCCCCCAAAAATATCCCAACTTTGCCTCACAATGGAAATGAACCCTCTGCTGTCTGAGGGTTAAATGCTTGCCATAAATTCTTTTGAGCAACACTATTTTGAATCTGTGAAGAATGTATGAAAATTTGCTGGTCTGCAGAAACTTTTTGAGGAATTTGCTGGTCTGCAGTCCCAAAAAGGTTGGGGAACACTGTCATTGATCACTGGTCAATTGGAAGAGAGAATATAATATATTCAGCAATTGTTCTGTCTCTTAGAATGGGTCTTTTTTGTGGGTGTCAGTGACTGGAATGGACAAATGTGGATAAAGTAACAAAGAATAATAATAAGAATAAGAATAGCTCAGTCAAGGATTTTGGTTAATTTGGTCCTCGGAGTGGGAGCCATGCACAAACTGTAAAATCTCTGTTGAAAGCAAAAATTTGCTTTGAGGCATGTCACATACTACCACATGAGCTTTTCCTTGGGGCACATGCCAGCATGGCACAGCGCCTCTGCTTGGTGCTGTCTGGCAATCTGACAAGAACAAAGCATAAAATTTTTTAAAGCTTGGGAACAGAAAAGGTCTCACAGGTGATACTTTGCCAGAAAGTCCATCATGTGGTTGGACAAATATCTGATTGTTTAAGCATTTTGAATAATTTAAAGTACAGTGGGCCCCCATGTTACGTCATCAATCCATTCCAGGATAGACGTCATAACATGGGGCCGTCATAAGTTGAAACCCTATTTCCCTTAAGGTTACATTATAAAAAAATTAATTTGTTCCAGAAAAAAAATATTTACCTAAAATTTCCTTCATAATTCAACTTTTTGTCAGAAATTGCATTAATAGACACAAGACATGTTTGAAAGATTGTATAAAACAAAAGTGATAGGGGGTAGGGTAGTGAAATAGGGTAGGAGGAGGATGATTTTCACAATTTTGAGCACTTCTCACAACTTTTTCCATCCTTCATTTTAAAGCTTGATTTTGAGTCTGCATTGGTTTAAAATTTTTAAATTGAGTGTTTTTTAAAGATGTGTGAAGAAAGAAATTGTGCACAAAATTTCATGTCATACATGCATTTTGAGTTTTGAAATTTTGGTGAGTTCATCGTCCAATTTTCAAGGCTTGATTTTGAGTCTGCATAGGTTTTAAAATTTATAAATTGAGTTTTTTTAAGGCGCAAAGAAAGAAATTTAATACATACTGTGCCCAAAATTTCATGTCATAAACACATTTTGAGTGTTGACATTGTTTGAGTTCATCCTTCACATTTTAAAGCTTGTTTTTTTTAAGGTGCAAAGAAAGAAATTTAATACATACTGTGCCCAAAATTTCATGTCATAAACACATTTTGAGTGTTGACATTGTTTGAGTTCATCCTTCATATTTTAAAGCTTGATTTTGAGTCTGTTTAAGTTCTACAATTTTTGAATGGAGTGTTATTGCAAGGAGTAGGAAAAAATAATGTGGCAGGAATAATTCCTCCATTGCTACTGGCTTTTTTGGTGGTGTGGTTGGAAACGAGAGGAAGACTGGAGTGGGGAAAGTCAAAGGGCTTTTATAGTCGTAACATGAAACCCCGACGTAAGTCGGGGGTTTTTTAAATTTAAGAAAAGCGTCGTAAGATGAAACGGACGTAACATGGGCCCGTCGTAAGTCGGGGGCCCACTGTATATGAATACAGTAGTCTAAAGCTCTAAACTCAATCTGTGCATGTAAAGTAAAATACGGCCTCATACGGTATTCTAGATCTGGAGTGCTACAAAAATTGTGTGTCTTACGAGGAGAGCTTCACGCCTGCGGTTGAACGCTTATTATTTTTGACAGACGGTTAGTTTTACTCCCGAGGACAAGTTTCGGCTCGAAGGGTTTCGAAAGTTGGTACAGAATATAATGTACAATAATTAACTACAGTACAGTATACGCAGATGTACGTAAGCCATATTTTTTTTCTAGCACTAGCGACACCAAATGAAGCAAGTAGGCAAGAGCAGAATGTTCAAATCTCCCAGCGTAAGACGAACGGTGCTAGACTGAAGGAACCACTGGTTCGGAAGCCATGTGGGAAACAGACACAAAATGGGCACTGCGGTGTTAGCTCGTCCATTTGTTCGAACTTCAACGGAATTCTTCTGTGTGGCGACTGTGACGTGGTACGTCGACTAGTGTGTGAGCCTCGGGAAGTCCCGTGACGCTTGAATTTTTTGGAAATTTTGCGCTGTATCAACAAAATTTCCAGACTTCTTGGAGATACGAGGGACTGCTTGGCTTGAATCTACGCCATCGGATCGGCTTTTGGTAGCGCGGAAGTTGGACTCGCGACGTTGATGATTGGTAAGTTGTCTCTTTGCTTCATTTCATCGTGATTAAACCCTTTGAGGAATCGTGTGCTGTGAGAAATGTATGATGCCGGGTATCACCGACTGTATTCATGAAAGGTTGAATGATCTTTCTGAAGAGTTTTGATCAAGATCCGTTGGAGATCAATTCTTCGCGAAGCTGTCTTCATGGAAGATTACGGGTGTTACATATCAAATGTTTGGGGTTCGCGTCTTTGAGCTTACTGGGATACTGTACTGTAGTAATATTTCAGTGAACTACAGCAATAACGAGGTCTGTGTGGTCGGCACTGAGCTATTATGGATTGGAGGAAATTTTGTGATAACTCTCAAAACGTTTGTGCCCAAAATGTCATGTCATAAACACATTTTGAGTGTTGACATTGTTTGAGTTCATCCTTCACATTTTAAAGCTTGATTTTGAGTCTGCTTAAGTTCTACAATTTTTGAATGGAGTGTTATTGCAAGGAGTAGGAAAAAATGATGTGGCAGGAATAATTCCTCCATTGCTACTTGTTTTTTTGGTGGTGTGGTTGGAAACGAGAGGAAGATTGGAGTGGGGAAAGTCAAAGTGCTTTTATAGTCGTAACATGAAACCCCAACGTAAGTTGGGGGTTTTTTTAATTTAAGAAAAGCGTCGTAAGATGAAACGGACATAACATGGGCACATTGTAAGTTGGGGGCCCACTGTATTCTGAGAATTTTAAATTCAGACAAAAATTTTCAATGCCTTGGTCTACTCTAAATACTGTACTGCACTCAACATTTCTCTTTGGGATTCTAAGACAACTCCTGGTATGTTTTTTTTTCATTTCAAATTTTACTAAAAGCTTAAAACATCAATCACAAAATGTCAAGCAATAAAGTGATCATGAGAGAAACAAACAAATGATTATTGGAAGATAGTTTTGTGAGAGTTACCATATTTACTTAAGTACCACACACCATCAAGTACGGCGCACACCCCCAGTTGTTCAAAAACCTATCCCTGTGTAAGACGCGCACCCCTGTTTTTTGTTGCTGAAAATCAATTAAAGTGGAATCTTTTTTATTTCTAAACTCATTTTTCCTCATCAATATTTTGTGTTTCTGTCTTTTTCCATGTACAGAAGCAGTTGAAATGCATTTTTAATGTAGGAAAGCTTCCTCAATTAGATGAATATTACGTTCTTCCTTTACTTCCTGTTCCATTTCCAAGGTATGAAACAAATTGAGCCATTATTCCGCATGCAGGGAGAGACTTGGTGCCACACATTTCCTCTTCAAATTTTGTTTTTACTTGGATGTGAGGGGCACTGGGCACTGGTCTTGGGAATTTTTCCCTAAAATGTATCCCCAAGTCTCAAGTGCACCCTTTTTTTCTGCCTCAATTTCTAGAAAAAAGGTGCATGTGGTACTCAAGTAAATACGGTAGTAAAATGAGTACTGTATATCCTCATATTTCTCAACTCCATTGTCTTTTGATTTTTCTTAATGACAATGTGCTGCTACCTGAAATGTTTCTGAATGTAATACTGTATAAACATCATCTGTTCTTAAAATCAACTACATTGTAACTGTATGATACTTGTAGGACAAAGAAATACTGAACTCTTTACTGAAAATGCAGTTTATGTCATGCTTTTTTGCAGATATAGCCCTTCAGGATGAGGGGAATCTTCAATCATCAGTCATTTGTTCATTTGTCAAGGGCATACAGATGCTCAACTTTTAATGCCTTATGTAAATGCTATACCTTCTCTTATTCAAAATTCCTAAACTTTGGGACAAGTTCAGCCTCTAACCACTTCCTTGTCAGCATTGATTATAACTTGAGCTATAGAAAAGTTGTCTATGCCTTGAACCTTTAGCAGTCATTGTCATTTTTCTGTGAACCACTTAACCCTTGGACAGCAGTGGGTGATTTTCCATTGGGCAGCAGTGCCAGGAAATTTTTGCATGCTTGCACATTTTGGTTTGACCAAAGAATACCAAAGCACAGCTTTGGCTAAGTTGCTGAAGTGTGGAAAAGACCAGAGAAAATGAAATCCTTTTTTTTTTGAAATCCCTGAAAGCTAATCCTATGGCAGAAATGTGCAAAAATGCACCTAGCAATAAATATTTTTTGAAGGACTTCTTTGTTCAGAAAAGAGACCACAATTATAAATATTTTCTAAATTTGGGCTCTTCTATTCATGTTAGATTTTTATTTTTGTAATAGGTGTACCATGCAATTCAATCTCCCACACATTTTTCCATCCTGCAATTTGATGGTCCAATTTGCTGGAATAAAGGCTGACTCACAATGTGATCTGCAGAGAGACACAAAATATCAAATTTTACTCAGAAAGCATTGCATTTGATATTGTCTTGCAATTCAACCACTTCAAAATTTGATCCTACCCCTGCAATAGATTAAGGTTGAATTGAAAGGTACCCCTTGTACTTGTGGAACAACATTTCACAAATAAATCCCTGCTCTGCCAAAGAAGTGTCAATCTTGTGTTCTGTATATCAGGTAGCATTCATTTCATTCTTGATTTTTCCCTGAATTTGACCACAAAGCTTTTGAGAAGTTCAGGCAGAATTTGAATAGAAATCTACAAATCACAGGTTTTGATTTCAGGTAGGTAATTGTCAATTATAAATAGTTGAACCCCTTCCCAGCTGATTGGATTGGAGTAAGTAAGTTTCACTTTCCCTACAAAAATTAGACAATTGATTCATGCAAGGTGGTTTATTGCAGATTTCAAGATGTTGGTTGGTGAGCAAGAGAAAAAAGCACAAAAGTTGGCATCACACAAGAGAAAAGAGCAGGTGTAGGAGCAATACGTTTTCCTTTTTTTGAATGACTAGATAGCCACAATTCCTTGGTAATCACAGTCTGGTTCAGAAGATGATGTCAGCTGGCAGAGGGCGCTTGTTGTTCTCAACCTGCGGAAGCAAGTCAGACGGCCTCAATGGACGGTCATTTGGCAGGACAAAAACTGGCTTCTCTTCAACTGGTGCAACTGGTCTGACCTGGATGAACTGGTCTGGTCCACCACCAAGTTGTTGATTGATTGGGACTGGCCTCAAAGCTGGCTGTTCTTCAACTGGTGCAACTGGTCTGACTTGGATGAATTGGTCTGGACCACCACCAAGTTGTTGGTTGATTGGCACTGGCCTCAAAGCTGGCTGTTCTTCAACTGGTGCAACTGGTCTGACTTGGATGAATTGGTCTGGACCACCACCCAGTTGTTGGTTGATTGGCACTGGCCTCAAGACTGGCTTTTCTTCAACTGGTCTGACTTGAATGAATTGGTCTGGACCACCACCAAGCTGTTGGTTGATTGGCACTGGCCTCAAGACTGGCTTCTCCTGGGCTGGCAACAAGTCACTTGGCCTCAATGGTCTGTCATTGGGCAAGACAAAGACTGGCTTCTCTTCAACTGGTCTGACCTGGATGAACTGGTCTGGACCACCACCAAGCTGTTGGTTGATTGGCACTGGCCTCAAAGATGGCTTCTCCTGGGCTGGCAACAAGTCACTTGGCCTCAATGGTCTGTCATTGGGCAGGACAAACACAGGCTTCTCAGCAACTGGCAAAACAGCAGGTCGTTCTTGGCTTGGCAACAAGTCAGTTGGCCTCAATGGACGGTCATTTGGCAGCTGAACGATTGGCTTTCCAGCTGGACCAACTGGCGAGATTTGTGGCCTGTTCTGAGTTGGCAGCAAGTCAGATGGTCTCAATGGACGGTCTTCTGGCAACAAAACGGTTGGCTTCTCAGCTGGCTTCAACCAAGGGAAGATGACAGCGGGCTTGAAGTCAGCGCTGTTTCCAGAGCCTCCGAATCCTTGCTGCTGTTCGGCCATCTCTAGCAAGTCAGCTGGGCGAAGAGGGCCATCTTCGTTGACGATTTGTTCTCCGGTTGGCTTGCTTTCAATGACCACGCATGGCCTTGGTGCTGGTCTGATGACCTCTGGTCGGTTGACCGTCGGCCTCAACAGCAATGGGGAAGCCTGAAAAACAAGAAAAGTTTTATTATTTTTTTAGAACTCAAAAATCGTGGCAACAACACATTTCGTGAATGTGAAAGAGAATTGAGGTTTCAGAAAAAATCGTGCGAGCATCAGTAGTATAGAGCGATCTATTGACGCTTTCTGCTTTTCATTCAACGCCAAAGAATTTTAAATTTTAAATATAGAAATAAATACCAACAAGATTTCTAAAATTTGAGAATTTCGAACCCTTTTCCCTCAATCAATATCAGGAAAATTTCTTTCTAGTAAAATATTGCAGTAGATGAAAACGGTCTATAAGGGGAAGTCGGTCATTTTGAAATTTGAAATTTTCAACAGAATGAGGCACTTTCTTATTGGCTTTCATTCTGTCACTTATGCGAGGTATGAATTTAAAATTATTTGTTGCATTGGATTGATATAAATCTTTTGTTGCACTTCATTATCTTCGCTCAACTCCCTGAACCTGCAAGAGATTTTGCCGAATATTCTTTCAAACTAACTTTTTAAATTTCGTATAAGTTAGATGTTGTTCTAATACATTTTCTAGCTGTCGCCCAAACGGGAACAATGCATTTTAGTTTTTAGAAGAATTCTGTCATATATTGAGAAAATGTACAATTTTCAGTACCAAGTTCGATGTTATTATTTTTTTTTTTACTCACCTGGGTCAAGGCTACAAGGAAAACAACTCCAAACACTGCTTTCATGTTGACAATTTGCCTTAGCTTTTCTTCTCCTGATTACCAAAAATATGATTGCAATGAGTGAACTGAGGAACTGAGGGTTCCACTGCGGACTTTTATACAACTGTCGGAGCTTATCGGAAAGAAAAGGCGCAACTTGAGTATGTATCGCACGGAATGTGATTTTCTCAATTTTTTTCGACTCATTCCGGAGCAATTCAAGAGAAGAGCATTCAAGAGCAATTCAAGAGAATTGCACCCTTCGTCAGCAGAAAAATTCTTCTCCCGACCGGGTGAAGGCCGATATTGCACAAAGCAACGAAAAAAAAAACTGTAAATACAAAATTGCGAACGTGACTAGGAGAAAAACAGGGTACCATTGAAGGGCCATTTTTATTAATCTCCGATGAGACTGCGTATACCTCCCTTGTTACCATGCAGAAAATTCGAAACACGCTCCGTGTTCTCAGCTTGCTGATGTGGAAGAACTGGTTGATCCGCAAACGGCACACGGTTCTCATGGTTGCCGAGATCGCCGTGGTGCTGGCCCTGTTTGGCGCTCTGGTGGCCCTGCAAAACCAGCTCACCATGTTTTCGCAGGCCAGTCAGGGAGACCCGAATGCTGCCACGACGTTTCCGCCCGTGAGCACTGATGAATGGGTTGACAGGCTCCGGTTCGTCTTGATGATGCAAGGCCGGAAAGTTTACTTTGCGCCCAACTCCACTAAGCATTTCAAAGAAGTGCTGCGGAGTGTACGAAGTTTGGTCAATCCTGCTCACGGTGAGCTATAGTTTTTTGTTTTCATTTTCTTGCACGAGCCATTCCGGGAATTATTTCGTAATTTTTGTTTTCCTGTTATAGCTATTCCATGGCAGAGTTGCGATATTTTCCCAAAATCGCGATATTATAGAAGGATAACGAACAAATTTAAAAGTGAAACTATTGAATACAACCCGAGTCCAAATATCTTGGGTTTTTCCATAGGAAATGTTTGACAGAGCGACAAAATAAAACAGATCAACATTTTAAAAATGCTAAATTGTAAACTTCGTTTTTTTTTCCTTTTCGTTGGTCTGTCAAATATTTGCTATGATCAAATCCTAGCTTGGTATCAAATATTCATTTGGTGCAAACTTTTGGCAGAGCAACGCCTTTTGGGATAATTTCTCTTAATTTTTTAACTAGAAATAATGCATCAAAAACGGAAACTGGCGAATAAAGCTGTAGCCCATAAATATTGCGTTTTTTGCACGCACGCAAACGAAAAATATTTGGAAGAGCAAAAAAAAAACATTTTCATAATTTTAAATACATCTTGAATCCAAAAATATTGCGTTTCTTCTTTTTGCGTAAAAAGTGTTCTTCAGAGCAAAAAACGAAGAATGTAGATATCTTTGAAAAAATGTGACGCAAAAGAAACGAGAAAACTCAGAAGTAGAGACTTTGAATATCGTCCGAGTCCAAAAATATTGGCTTCTTCTGCTTTTGAGCTGAACTGCTTCTACCAAAACAGCAATTCAAAAATTGTCGGAAATTAAATTGCTTGCTTGTTTAATGCCTCTTCACATTTGTAGAGCACTTACTTTTGAATCGTGGTTTTCGGTGGACCTTTATGATGTGCTTTAGCAGTTAATTCAACTTTTGTCTCTTAAAATTTTAAATTGGAAATTTCGTCGAAATGTGTTGAGTGAGAAAAGAGGGAAAAAATAATTTATCGCAGGGAAATATGTTTTTAGGCCTTTCAAGTATTTCTGCGTCTCATAGTCAACTGGATTGTATATTCGAGGATATGCATATCGGGTAAATAGGGAAATGACTTGCGGTGATACTGTACAGTATAGGCTTCTGTAATTTGACGAAAACGTGTTCCTTCAATTTCAGCTCAACTTGTGATGAGAAGATCTGAAGACGAGGCCATGAAAGACATGAGGGCAGCGAAGCTACTTGGCGAACCAAATGAAGGTCTGGCTTGTGTCATTTTCCGCCAGATTGACAGACGATCCGTCGTTTATGACTTGCGATTTTCTGACATGCATCCATACATGCCGGCGATTCTGTACGAAATCGGGGGATCAGACAATGCTCAATCGGAATATCGTACGTATATTTAATTCGCATTGAATTTCAGATCAGAACATTTGCGGGACTTTGCAAAAGACTAGCGATTCGCCTTCAAAATGTTTGTGTCATATTCGACGAAATCTGAATGATACTAATTTACAAGAAAATTATCTCGATTCATCTCGCAAGAATCCTCTTTATTTTTTGCAGAAGAGAAATGAATGAGTTAACGACTCCGTTTTGAAATTTTTCTTGCGAGAAACAAACGTTATATTTTGTGAGTTCGCTGCTGGTGGGTTAGAAATCACAATAGCAAAAATCCCCGAAATTTTGTGAAAACTACGAGGCCGCATCCGTCTTGCATTTTTTTTTTCGTCCAAGTAATTTGCTGCTTTTCGTATTTAGTGATATTTAGAAAACATGTTCTCGGCTTTTTGCAGCTGTTGAAAAAAAAAAGAATTTCTGAAGCAACTGAAGTGAAGTCCTGAGGAAATGACATCTTGAATTTTCATAATCGAAAGCCATATTCATGCAATTTTTTTTGATAATCATATTAGCAAGTTCCATATACTGTTTAAATTTTGAAGTATTTTAAGCCGTACAGTGTTTGATAACGTTTCAGCTCGAATGGTTCGCAATTGGATGCTTCTTTCATGACAAGAAAATTAGGAGCTTCAAATTTTATCATTAGGTATGATCCAAACACACATGGAACTTTAATTGCTGGTTACTTGAGACTATTGAGAAATTCCGTGCCTCAGCAATATATTCAAATTCTTTTTAACGTTTTGGATCCAGGAACTGATCAATTTCTAGCACGAGAATTTTCTAATCACAAATAACTTGATTGACGATTCGCTCCAATCATTTTCCGAATTTTTCAGAAATTTTCTTTTCAATAGATGAGCTGAATTCTATGTCGTCAAAATTTGAATCAATATCATTTTTAAATCCAAGTTTTCAGTTTATAGATGACGATGATTACATTCCTAGTAAAAATTATATTTCTCTTTTTTCGCGTTCTTTTTTCCAGATGAAATGGCGATGAATATGGTGATTCCTCTTCAACACACGGTTGATGCAGGAATCGTGAAATGGGCAAAATCTCCCTCCGACATGAAATCGCCGCGAAATTCTTCGTCGAGAATCAGAAGGGAAAATCCTTTCCTCATCCCGGTTTGAAAATTTTATATTCCGATACTAATTTCAATGCTTTAATTCGACACTTTTTGTGCGTATTCAGGTTAAATTTCAGAAATTTCCGATTCCTAAAGCTGCGAAAAAGCAGCCACCAGATTTATCGATTCTACTGGGACTGTTGCTTCCTCTAGCGACATTGTTTTGTTTCATGTTTTTGATTCCAATCATGCACTTGGGAATTGTGAAAGAACGGGAGTCCGGAGTTAAGGTATGTTTTTTTCATTAATTTTTGCGTGTAATTGGAACTTTTACTCAAATGCTGAGGAAAGCCTATTTTGTGAATACAAAATTTTATTTCAGTTAAGCCACTATATAGAGGGGAAATCCGCTTTGCTTTTTTTCAAATACTGTATTGATGAACTGGACAACTGCAGAAAATCTTCGTGCTGTAGACGTCACACGAATTCCCAAAGGAACAGAAATCTTATCCCGAAATGATCGCAAACAAATTTTCGCTTACTACTGTATATGAAAGGCTGGGTTTTATTTTTAAAACTGACGATTCAACGATTGTCTGGTGGGTATTTTTTATAGATGGACTTGGATTTTATTCCACTGAATGAATATGAAACGGGAAATTATATTATATGGTTTCTAATCGACAAGAAAATACTGTAGTTATAAAATTCTCAGCCACCTACTCTAAAATGCCAATAACCTTTCACGCTTTATTTTTGAGCAGATGTTCAAGAACATTTTTGGAAAATTTTAGTGAGCATCTTTCGGAATTCTGTTGATTTTTTCAATATGTGGCTGAAAACGAAATTCCTTGTCTCCTTCAAAATGTAGCCGAACTCATGACAGTTTTCTTCTTTACGTGAAAAGGAATTGATGAAGTTAATGGGCCTCAGCAGTCTGATGTACTGGTCGAGTTGGTACTTCAGTTGTCTCTTGGTCATGATCATTCCTCTGTTGCTGATGTCATTCATGGTACTGACTTCATTTCCGATAATGGGATCCATGTTGAACGCCAGCGATCCAACTGCAGCCTTTTTCTTCTTCTTTGTGTATACTGCAGCTTTCATTTCCTTCACCTTCTTGTCAACCCTGGCTTTTGATCAAGGTGAGAAAGTTGAAGAGGATTCAAGGTAATTTGGCCAAATATTATAATTGCGTGATCAGTGAAAGTTCATCAGAGACAACCTCAGCAATTATTCATGAACAGCACATTTTTCAGATGCCCTTATTAGATGCCTCGAAAAAGCCATTATTTCGTTCGAGAAAAAGTTCCAGCGTTTTTGCCTCTTCTAATATGGGGTTGCATTTTCCTAGAAAATTAGCACGCGTACTTACGGCTTACGTGGAGTAACTTTAAAAAAAAAAAAAAAAATTCTCAGAATAAAATATTGTATTCATTCTGTCCCATTGAAAATACGATTTAACGATTCTATAGCCAAATCTCTAGAACGAGTTATTCACCAAAATTGAGATTAGATAAAGATGCTCACTTGTCCAAAGTTACAGTAATTGTTCAACTAAAATTTTGCACTTAACACATTTAAATACCAAGTTAATCAACGCACAAATAATCAAACTTTCTATGTTTTTCAAAGCCTTCTGCATTGTCGAGCTGCTACTCAACGAAAAAAAAGAATTGATCATTTTTTAGGTTTTTCGATATCGTCCGCACAAAAAAACAGTAAATCGGTCAAAATCGTATTATTTTCAAGAATTTCAGCATGAAATTCAGATGATACTGTTCTCGTAGTGTTGAAAACGATTCCCTTGGGGCTGATTCTCGCTATGGCTAGTTGCATGATCCCAATGCTTGCGTTCGAACTTTGGAATCCGAGCAGCAACAAAGCAGGACCAAATGGTTCCCTGGCCCTGTGTTTGTTGCCAAATGTCGCCATGGTCTTCGGGTATCGAATTGTGCATTCTTTGGAAGCCAGAGGCAAGCTGCTTTTTCTTTCTAGTTGATAATATTCGCATTTTAAAAGGAATATCAACGAAAAAATGAAAATAACCGTCACCTATATGTTTATTTGAAATGACGGAAACTTGGATTTTTCCTGTCGTTTTTTCAGCAAAAGTTTGCCGGATTTTAGCACGCAATTAAAAACTCGAATATTAGTTGAAATAAATACGTTTGCTGCTCGTCAAGAGAAGCTGATTTCCCCAGGGAAGTTGACTAGGAAATTTGGTTGATTAAATGTGCAAAGTGGTTGAAAAAAATATGCAGATGCACCTGTTGGCTGGATTGCTTCTTATATACAGAAGGTTCTTTTTTTCTTCAAAGTTTGATTTTATTTAAATTTAAACAAAAAAGCATTCAAACTGCGCTCGAAATATGTACAAAAATCCGCTGAAAAATACTTTTACTTTAATGATGTCGTTAGCGTCTCTACCAAACAGATTAATAAATTTTCCGCACAAAATGATCCTTTGTTTTTCTTCTAACAATTTTCCCCCGTATTTGATGAATTTGAAGAAAATAATCACGTTTTTATTGCACTAATCGTGAAGTTTCGATGGTTTCAGGGACTGGACTGCAATGGAAAGATTTCCATCGGATAGCGGATGTGAAAGGCAAATTGAGCATGTCCAAAGTGATCGCCATGCTTTTTTTCGATGCATTTCTGTATTTTGCTCTGACCCTTTACATCGATGCTGTTAGGCCGACGAAATATGGCGTTCCTCTTCCGTTTTACTTCCCATTTCAGGCAGGTAAACTTCCGGTTTCAAATCTGTTCTTGGTTGGAATCATAGATTAGGATACACGCACCGCAGTGATGGAATCTCATTCAGGGGTTTTGAAATTATTCATCGAAATTTTGGCATTTTCATTGAAACTTTATTTTGTCAATGCAGTTTTAAAAATTCTACGAGCCCTGAAAAATAAGGCCATCCATTATACAGTTTTTGAATAATCACTGCAGACTATCAAATCTTTTTGTGCTTTCGAATAAAGATTTGTTTCGCTTAATTTGATCGCACTTTTTTCAAAAGGCAGGATACACGAATACGCGAAATAGTCTGGTCATGTGTTCTGGATTGTGCGAGCTGATGTACATTTTAAAAATATAATAAAGTTCGAGAACAAAAGACGAAGGTTGTTTTTTCTTGAATAACCTTAGACTGGGTCCAGTTGACGAATACTGCATTTGCATCAAGTATTCTTGATTGTCCTAGTTGGAATGACCAAATTCGATCTCTCGTCAATTGAACATAATGATTCCCGCGAGAGTTTTGCAGTCCGATGTGACTATTTTTAATAATAAACATTGAAGAATATATCGTCGGAGTACTGATAATCAGCTTTCCGCTCCTCAGAAATCCTTTTGGTCCAAGTTTCGACGAGCATCAGACAAGTCTTCGACGATACCGGAAGTGACGAGAACAGCAGCAGGCCAAGATTCACTGCCGACAGACGACCCGGAACAAGACATTACACGGCCCCGTCGGGCGACGGCGAGTTTCGAACCCGAACCCACGCATTTGCCGAAAAGCGTGGAAATTCTGAACTTGCGGAAAGAGTATCGAGGCCCGTTTGGGAAACGGATTCGACTCGCAGTCGACAACGTGTCTCTGAATGTGTTCCAGGGACAAATCACGGTCTTGCTTGGACACAATGGAGCAGGGAAATCCACGACCATGTCCATTATCACAGGTATAAAAGTAACTTGAAATATACGAACACGAACGTTTGACTCGGCAATTCGGCTTATCGACATTGAATTGAGTCTCGAGATTTGACTCAACTCGAGCCGTGAAAGATTATCCGGAGGACAAAAACGGAAGCTGTCTCTAGCCATGGCTCTCATTGGAGGAAGCAAGGTCTGCTCAATATATCCTCATGAATTATAAATTGATTCAAGTAAATTCATGAATAAAATATTTCCAGATCGTCGTTTTGGACGAACCAACGTCTGGAATGGACCCCGAGGCGAGAAGACACATGTGGGACTACCTTCTGGTAATTTTGTTCCTGCCCTGCATTTTGCGTTGTTGTATTTTTTTGATCGAGTACGGTATTTATTGATGTCTTCTCGGCCAGGAAGAAAAGGATAGAAGGACCATATTTTTGACCACGCATTTCATGGAAGAAGCGGACATTTTGGGCGACAGGATTGCAATTATGGCGAATGGGAAAATAATGTGCGTCGGAAGCCCGCTGTTTCTCAAGCACAAGTATGGTATGAGTTTTCTCATATACTTTTGATAAATGGTATTTAGTAACTGGTTATACTGCCTTCATTCGAACACCTCCAGCAAATTTGAGATTAATTAATGAAAAGAAACTAGACAATGATTAAATGTAGAATGATAAATTAAAACGCAACATTTATACTCAAGTGCCACGCGTACGCCATTAGGTAAGACGATTGCATCAAATTCTCAACTGAAAATTCGGCATACTTCCCGATATTAAAAGCGCACGCCAATTCGTCTCATAGCGTTTTTTCAATGTATGCACGACGTTGAAATACTAACTTTTGAAAATTTTCATTCATACGCCCCTCTAAAATTTAAATTAAATTCAATTCAATCTGCCTTTGACTTATATTTTATCCGAAATCTTATGGCAGCTGATTCGTGACATCGCCAAAATTTGAGAATTTTTCAGGAAAAATGCACATAATGAGGAACACCTCAATTTTTGGTATCAATCTTTTGGGGATAATACCCTCGTGGTACTTAAATGTAAGTCTGGAGCATAAAGGCATCCTAAACACCTGAACACCTAAATTTAAAATCAAAATATTTTAAAGAAGTTTCCCAGCATATTATCTTGATTCCTGTGCATTTCCATTAAATTTGCGTTTCGAAATTCAAAAGTTACATAGTATTATGATTGATCGAGTTCATTTTCCTCTAGTATTCTCGAAAACTGACGATAAAGAACAACTCGGGCGCTCTTTGCTTTTATGTACCAAGCACGTCATTCTTGATTTTCTCAATATGTGTTCTTGCTTTCGTTTCAAGTCTTTTTATTAAAGTTTTGCTGAATTAAAACTGCGAATCAATTTGCTGTAAGCAATGAACAATACGCACACATTCGAGACTAGATATTCAAGAATGAAAAAAATATATACTCATGCGTTTGATGACTTTCGAGAATCAATTTTACAGCATCGGGCTTGTTGCTGGTAATACTGAAGCAGCCGCAAGCGCCAAAAGACGACATTTACGACACCATAAAGACGATTCTGCCCGGTGCAGTGATGGCCCCAATCCGTAATCCCAGTGAACTGAACTTTTTGCTGCCACTGGAGAGAAGAAATACATTCCCCGAGTTGCTGGGCATCATTGAGTCCAACAAGGAAAGACTGGGCATCATTAGCTTCTCCATATCAACAGCATCCATGGAACAGGTTTTCCTCAAGTAATGAAGGAATTTCACAATTTTTTTCCATTTTAAATGAAACGATGACTGATCGATTGATCTGAATGCTGAACTGACGCGAAGAATGGTTCCGATTTTCTCATTTGCTTCATGGATGCATTCTCAAATTTTTTTTTTCTCGTTAGTTTTCCGCCGATTTTGAGGTTTTACATTTGTTAAAAATTATGAAAGCCGTAAATTCCCAATTTGCGCTTAATTGTTGATTTTTGAAATTATAAATTGTTCGATTCAACTTATTCCGCGTGCGCAACTGCGTCAAAGTTACCAAATTTAGCTTAAATTCGTGCATGATTTCTTCGTGACTGAAAACCAGAACAAAATGTCCAGTAGCATACTTTCAATTCACATTGAACCGTTCAAATTTTTGGGCTGAAAATCCGAATTTATTCTTTCAACCTTTGTTGATGGAAATTATTCGCAGAATGTCACAGTCTGAGTTGGTCAGGCCTAAAATTACAAGAAGGTTCTTCGTAAGTCAAGCCCATAGCCATTTCCTTCGCCGAAAACTAAATTTAATGGACATATTTTAAATATGAGACGGAATAATTAAAATACGTTCCGACTGCTGGCATCGCTTCAATTTCCTTTTAACCAACTCGAGTATGTGCTGTTACAGTACTTTTATTATGGCGGACAGCAAGTTGGTAAATCGAAAATTGTGTGCGTGGTAGAAGTTGAAAATTAATTCAAAACGCTTTGATTTGTTTAATTAAAGTGTCGGAGAGGAAGCAGAGATGGCGAATCCGAGTACAAACATCAGCATTCTTTCCGGAACCACTTCTCGTGGTTCCGATTTGATCAATCCTGGTCGCGATGATGAGCAAGCTATAGAAATCGCTGCAGAGAGTCAGTGACTTTATTCATCGATACCCTTGACAAAAAGGAATAATTTTATTTCGTTGATTTTGTATGAATCCAGCTCGGAAAACGTACCATCACGGGAAAAAATTAGAATCGGACTACACACGCGCCATGATCATCAAAAAGTTCATTTATCTCAGACGGCAATGGCCCCTGTTCATCAGTCAAGTGAGAGATTTACATTCTTCACATTTTTAGGAGAATTATTATTTTTTTTCTTGGTGTAATTTAAGAAAACAGCCTTTTCGACAATTTTACGCTTCATGAAGCCTATATAGGAAGCCAATTTTGGATGAAATTAGTTGACTAAATTTCTTTTGACGTTCCCATTATTATTTATTTGTATCGACCCCAAACTTCGTCTGGTGGATTTTAAATTTATGATCATTATTATTCCACCCTAGGGACAATATACTTTATATCGGAATAACTTTAAAATGATCAACAGGAAATAAAAATGAAGCCTGATGAGTTTTCTGTGCTGATTTTTTGAATGTCTTCCGAGTTCCTAAAAAAAAGCGATTCACAGTTGAACCTCTGTAAAAGTCAGCCTAGTTCAAATGGACCAGCAAAAAATTCCGAGGTTTCGAGTTATGGGAACAGATTTTTGTTTTGCTTTTAAATATCAAGAAGTGCAGGAATAAACTAAAGTGTGTGATTTGTTTTGCCATTGAACTGTATAATAAAGGAGTTGATAGGATGCTGAATTAGGAGGCCATAAGGGTTCATTTGCCCAATTGATCCCGTTTTATTGCTTTTCTTATTTATGTTTCAATAAAATAGTCGCCAGACGGCCTTTTAAAAAAATGGAGCTTTGAGGAGGAAAGCTTTTCATTCAAGGAGGTTTTTCATGCATTTTTTTCAAGGGCATTCAGGCAGGCACTTGAAAAAAAATAATTCTACATAGAGAGAGGTATTTCGATAAATGAGGTTGAAGTTGTCGAGATTCAGTTGTAGGTTTCTCGAATAATCCTTGGCCAATGCATTAGTGCAGTTTCGAGTATGGGATGATTCCTATTCATCGTCGTCCTTAATATCCATTTAATTTTTGAATGTACTGTACTGTACTGTACCTGGGATTTGAAACGAAGGCGTTTCGGACCCTCAAATCACTCGATGAAATTCAAATTCGTCTTCCTGATCTGGCCCAATATTTTCAGCTCCTGTTGCCGTTGCTGTTGTGCTTGACATCCCTGATTCTCGACGCGTCATTGAGCGACGAAAGCGGTCCAACTCCGGAACCGGCAACAGTGTCACCAGACATGTACTACCCGGTCCAAGCCCTCGTCAAACGACCCCCGGGGGCCATGTTTCCCAACATCAGCTCGCCCCGAAAGAAAATCGGTTCCGATTTCGAGTCGGTCCTGATTTCCGCCGGCGGCATTGTGTCTCCAGTGCCCAGTGAGCAAACCATGGAAGAAGCCATTGAGGCGAGCGCGGAAAAGGACCTTCCGAAATTTAGAACCGAGGTCATTATGGCCGCCGACTTCACGACGACCGCCCTCGTGGGAATGTTTTCGGCGTTTGCTCATCACGCGGCGTCCATCGTGGTTAATTTGATGGACAACGCCCTGTCCAAGGTCGGCGGTGGGCCGAAGATTGTCACTCGACTGTATCCGCCTTTTAAGAAGTCCACGGTGAATTTTATTCAATAATTCGGCCGACACCTGGTTGGGGTGTAGGACAATTCCCCCGATTCTAATTCCTCCGCTGTGGTGCATCAACCACAAAGACGAATAATTAGATGATAAATTAGGCTGAAAGATAAAATTGGTATGAATAAAACATGTACGCCGCCGGGGACTCGGCAGGGAGCCTTTCGGTGAGGTCTCCAAAAGNAGTAGATTAAAAAATTAATCTAAAAAACCACGTTTTCAAAAAGCAAAAAATAACCTTAAACATGGTGCGCATGGAGATTGTTGGGAAGAAGTGCAATACAAATGAAATAGATGCGCACCACGTTTAAGGTTATTTTTTGCTTTTTGAAAACTTGGTTTTTTAGATTAATTTTTTAATCTACTAAATTTTTTTGTGCTTTTTATTCTTACTTGAAAAACGTGGCTTTTTAGATTAATTTTTTAATCTACTATAATTATTATCAAAGATGAAGCCAAACATGGAATAGATGCAATTCATTCGATAAATTCAATTGCGTAATTCGTAGAAGATAAGCAAATATTGGATAACGAATTTTTTTCCCTCGCCAGGCATGATGACGACGAATTTGATCCTCTGGATGGAAAACTCCACTTTCGTTTCTGGACCGCAAAAAACGCCGGGAATGTCGCCGGAAAAACCGGGGAATATGAGCAGCAAACCGCTCAACAAACGTTCAATTTTCTCAGCTGTCTCAAGATTGGCGTATGATTTAGACGATGATGTAGATAAAACCGATCTGGACCGGGTTCTGGAAGCTGCTTCTTGGCCCCTGCGACTCATCCCGTCGTTTAGTTTCTGTTACGGATTGCAAATGTGGTCAGAGATTTCCTACATGAACAGTCGTTGCGAATCGATTCCCGAAAGGTGGATCAAGGAAGTTTGCGACAAGCCTCCTGTGCCCCAGTTGGCCCAACTACATGCCTGTTGTCGTAAGTACTGTGTTGGCTCAAGTACCCCACGTACTTTTTTTTCTGGAAAAATCAGGCAGAAAGGTGGGGAGGCAGAAAAGTGACCTGATGTGTATGTGGATACACGTTTTTCAAGAATGAAAAAAGTCATAAAACCATACCGATGTAAGTCAACAGTTAGTATCATGAGGTGAAAAAAGGATAGAAATTTCTGTTCGAAACCCAGCATAATTCAATTCTTCCTCTTCTTCGATTTACTTGAAAGCGTTTTGTTCAACGAATTTTTATTTGATGATACGAAATTATAGTCTCATCAGGGGAAAAAATGATAGAAAATTCTGTTTGACGCCAACCATAATTCAATTCATCTTTTTCCATTTACTTGAAAGCGTGTTGTGTATTTGAATTATTATTTGATAGTAAGAAATTATATTATAAACGAAATCAAAAAATATCCAAGCCTTACTTGAGGGTCCTTCGTACTTGAATAAAGACATAATTTCATATTTTCCCCACCAAATGTGCTACAAGCAGTTGGACCCCAATAACTGAAACCTCCCTATTTTTAATTTTTGTTGATTACTGCCTGAATTCCCTGAGGATTCAAGAACTATTTACTGTATATTTCTCCCCAACTTGAATACTTTCCCCTTGAACATCGATCTATAATTCAAATTGGGAGGGGCATTTGGGCTATCATTTCTGTGACCCAGGGCAAATAAAAATCCAACGATGCTTTAAAAAAATAAATAACCTGAAGGGCAATCAAGCAAATAAACCATTTAAATTCAATATCCTGTGATCTCATTTATTACGAAGAAAATCGCCGATTTTTACTGCCTAAGTTTTCCCCAGCAAAAAGAAGTAGTTTCTCGATTCAATTCTAAAATTCATCTCAAGTCATTCACGTACTTCAAGAGCACCCTTGATTTCAAAATAATCGTGAATATGTGGAAATGCACCTATATTTCCAGCTTATCTTCCTGTCAGCAGTCTAAGCAGAAAAGCCAACGCCTGATTGGCATCTTAATTTTACGTGGTCATGTAGCTAATTAGACTGTCTAATTGCAGTAATTGCGTGAAACCGGCCACGGTGGTAAGATTATGCGCGATACTCTTTTTTACAAGCAATATTTGAAATACATGAGACATTCATTATATGTCAAAATGACCCTGAGCATCGTTATATTTCTGTCTCCAGCAAAATGTGGCACAGGGGACTTTCCGCCGTGTGTTGAGAAAATTTCTTATTTCGCATGGGAGCATCCAAGTTTTGCTCAAGAACTTGTCAGCATGATCGTCGTGGGAGCATTCTACGCTTTGCTCTTGTTTGTCGGCGAATCGTCCAACAAGTACAAAATATTCCTCTCCAACAAGCTGCGACGATCAAGAGCTGAAAATGATCCTGAAGGGAAACGTTTCTCGTCAGGAGAATCCCTGGATGCCGATGTGGCGGCGGAAAATGCAAGGGTTTTTTCCATCGTCGAGAAAAGTACTGTTACAATTTTTCGAATTACTATGCAACCCTTTGCTTTATTACTACACATTTTTCCTCGAGTGTTTCATAACAGCTAAACCGTATTAAAGCACAGTACAGTACATACATAATTGCACGTTTAAAGAGGTCGAGTGACGAAACATAGCGCAAGTAAAAAAAAAACGACTTACATACAGAAAAAAGTACACATCATAACACTACCATCTTGCTATAACGGATACCATCCTTAAAATGCTTCGTTAAAATTAAAAAAACATTAGTTGATTTATGAAACATGGATTTGTTCTTTCTCCGAAATCCTGCAAGAAATGCCACTGAGTAATCATCGCAGAATTCCGCCAAAACAAGCTTGTCAAATTCGGCTAAGAAATACTTTATTTACGCTTTAAAAAATCACCCTTAAATTGTACATGCATAAACTTGAAATTCCACCTATAGGGAACATATAAGCTATAAGCACCCACTTATTTCCCTGGTGTGATGACTTTCCAAAAACCAACAGTTTTTGACTTAATTTATGTTTTCCGCAGCAGAAATGGAAAAACTGTATCATCACACAACCCTTGCTCTTCTCTTTAGCCAATAAATCATGCATCTTGAAGCAGTAAAAACGCTAAATCAAGGGTTGACTGCATAAGGACTCCTCATAGTTTTTGTAATTCTATAATGTTGAAAATAGAGGTGCTTAAACTGCTTTTGAAATGCTTAGTTAAAATACTTGAAGAACCAGCAGGTGAAGGATGAGAAAATGTTTTAAAATCAAATCAGTTAAGTGACGGTCTCCAGCAGTAGAATAATTATATACCTGCGAAAAACCTCTCATCATACCATTATTTATATTCTCCGGTACGTTCAATGGACTACAATGCAGTACTGTATTTTCTAGGTTCGTTTGAGGAAAATTCCTTGGTCGCCCACAATTTGACCAAAGTTTTCTCGAATTCCTTCATGGCCGTCAACAACTTGAGCGTGGCTGTGAAAAAGGGAGAATGTTTCGGTCTCCTCGGAGTAAACGGAGCCGGGAAAACGACAACGTTTCGAATGCTAACAGCGGACGAAGATAAAACCAGCGGGAAGGCGTTCATGAACGGCTTCAGCTTGGATTCAAATCGACAAGAAGTGAGGTTACATTATTCCTCACAAAATTACCTTCTTCTTATTGATACGGATGCGAGGTTTACAGTACTTGAAACAATGCGGTTATTGCCCACAATTCGACGGACTTATCGACCCGATGACGTCAGAAGAAACTCTGAGAATGTACGCCCAACTCCGCGGGATTCCCAAGGAGGACATTCAAGACGAAATCGATTCCCTCATCCGAATTTTTGGTGATTTACGACTGCTTTCGAAGATGAAAATATCTGAATATTTCATTCAATTGTTTTTCTTCGAGATTTGGGCAAATATCGCAAAAAACAAAGTGGGACTTACAGTGGAGGGAACAAGAGAAAATTGAGTGCTGCCATTGCAATGGTGGGGAAACCTTCGTTCATTTTTCTGGATGAACCGACTTCTGGGGTCGATCCAGTTTCCAGGAGGAAAATCTGGGCAGCTGTTTCCATGGCAACAAGCAGGGAACAATCATTGATGCTCACCTCGCACAGGTGATCATTTATTCTCAACAAATTGATTGTGGTTTTTGGTAATGGGGTCTACTTTTGATCAAATTGAATGCATTGCACATAAGCACATTTATCCACATCTGGCCATAAGTTCGAAGGCTACGTACTGATTTGGCCCTGCACAAACTTCTTGGCCAATCAATTGGGGCCCAAGCAGAATCAAAGTTGAACGTAATTACTGTAACTTCATTTTGGTTATGACTACAGTTGCACCTTTCTGAGTGGAATTTCAAGGGATCTGAAAAAAATTGGCTCAGGGAGATTTGGAGATGGGGAGGTTTTTAGGCAAGGAAACAATCATTGTGTTGTGGGAAGGATGGAAGAATTGCCAGAGATTGTAATTGGGAATATTCTGGGCCTTAAATTGCTCCTTAACTGAGTTGACAAGATGCTGAACTTTGTTGCAAGGGTTCATTTACCCAATTATTCTTTCACTTCCTTTCAAAACACATCAATTTATTTTTTTCATTTTCTCTTCCCTGTGTGAAGAAAATAATCGCCAAAAGGTCTTAGAAAATTTGAGTTAGGGAGGTTTGAGAGGAAATGAATTTGATCTAAGGGCATTCAGGCAGGAATTTGAAAAAATTCAGTTGAGGAGGTATTTTACTTACAGAGGTTCAAATCATCAAATGTACCATAAATTTGTCCTGATGGCAACACATTTTGAATAAAGGTAGAATCTCTACAACATCATATTTCTGTAAATTTGTTGTGATTTCAGCAAGTATTGAAGACAGGTATAGACTCTCCACAACTTCTTAGCATAATTATATTTTTCATCCCATATGGGTCTCCATACCTATATCACCAGTAGGGTATGACTCTCTTGATATCAATCTGTTCCATTATGATTTGCTCCACATAACAATTTCCTTGGTTCCATATAGGATTCTCTCCTCAAATTACAGGGGTTCTCTACAACAAAATTCCCTACAGAACAAATTTTTCTGTCCTCCTGAATTTAATCCTGGAGAGTCCATCTGTGTATCAGAAAACAACTTCCAAAACAGCTGAAAAAGCAGGAGTCCAAGAATTTAATTTAATTTGCAATGCTTATTTATAGTCACCTTATTACTTCGACCACATTTTATTTACATTCAACTTGGAATTCCATTTACATCCTGCAAAATGCATTGAAACATTGTTAAAACTATTTCATTGTAGATTCAATTCATAAAAGAACAGGTAGGATACATCCAAAATCCCCTTATTCTAACATTCACTCAAGTACCACATGCACCCTTTACAAATAATTAAGGCTAAAAAATGACATGCGCATCACTGTTGGGTAAACAATTTTAAGTATTTTTTTTTTCAATTTCTCCCTACTTCCAAAATTTGGAGAGTTCTCCAATTTAATGATTGTTTGTATGACACAAAAAAAACACCCGTTCATTCAATTTCCAAGAGGGCTTCATCTTAGATTTTCGCCAAAAGGCAGTGACTTCCTGGTGGTGTCAGTTCAATGAGAAAAACGACAACTTGACCGGAGATAAATTTGAAATTTATTGCAATGCTCCGCTCCGTTCCGGGTAAATGCATCCTCAAATCGTATCCAACCATTTTTCCAAATCCGTTTCATTGCAAAACACAAATCAGCATGGAGGAGTGTGAAGCACTGTGCGACCGATTAGCCATTATGGTCAATGGGAAGTTCCAATGCATCGGCAATCCTCAGTATTTGAAACAAAGATTTTGCCAAGGCTACTCGGCGCAAATCACACTCAACGCCGGTATACAACAAGCGAACCCGGAGAACACATCGGAGCTCCTCGCCCTCATCAAAGAACATCTACCTTCCATGCAAATTCGGGACCAACATTTGGTAATTAAACACCATGGAGTGTTACAAAAAATTTTGACTTCCGAATATGCTTCGATTTTTCCTTTCCAAAGAACTGGTTCATCGCAAAACTTAAATTCTCTCTCATCATATTGAGCTCGTTTAAGATAGGTACAGAAAAATTACCATTGTCCACTTTCAAATTTTTGTGATCACACTGTTGCGCCCGAACAAACGTTGATGCATTAATTTTAAGTTATCTTTAAAAATTTTATTATATATGGATATCCATGACCGATATGAGCCCAAACCTCTAAATAATTCAATGATGACGAAAGCACTTTTCATTCAGTACAATAGATTACGGCTTTGTTCTCTTCTTTCCATTCGAGAAAATTTCGATATTCCGCGGCCTACGAAGTTTCCGCCTACGGGGGTGCCTGGGTTAAATTCGGCTGCGGTCTATAACGCGTGAATACAGCATTCATCTCGCTAAAAGTTTGTTTCATTGCACTGAAATTTTTCGTGAAATATTCGGCACAGGAAATTACTTCATGCCCTTCCAAAACCATTCTAGTAACTGCAATAAGAAGCAGAATGATTCCGAAGCCTTCGGTAAAAAAAAAGAATTTCACAATCCGTTTCTTGAACACAACAGGGGACCATTGAATTCGTGATCTTGGATCCGGCCACGACGTGGAAAGACATCTTCGCTACACTCGAGGAGTGCCACGACAAATGGCCGAATCTCGTTGACGATTATTCGATCGGGGAAACGACACTGGAGCAAATTTTCCTGTCGTTCGCTCGCAACCAGCGACCTCTCACGGCCAAGCCGAAAAAACCCTGTGTCTGCAATTGCTGCAAATCAGAGCGCAAGAAATCACATGGACTCGATTCTTCTCTTCCGGATAATTCTTGAGATTTGCTTGCAAACGTTTGATCGCAGCTTCAGTATTTTCTTTAAAGGTGTCGCGTCTCTCGTTTCGAAATTAAGAGATGAATAAACTGTTCGCCACGGTTGTACTGGCGTGAGTGAGGTCGAAAACAAATTAAGAATCTCGGGTTTCCCGTTAGGACAAATTCGAGGACAGGCGATTATTCGAGGTCAGTGAAACCTGAGCTGTTGATCGTAAATCCCGAAAACAAATCTTCTAACATCACTTCTAAATACGACCGTGAATTTTCTGAAAAACAGAACGCGGCCCATAAGCAGAGGCGAGGTTTTGTTTCTTGTCTTTTTGAAAGCTTCCAAGATTCTGCTCGAGCTCCGGACGATGGAAATTCTAGCAGAAAAAGCTTTTGCCAAGTTCCCTAGAAATATTCAACGACGGCAAGCGACGCGCATTCCAGGTGACATCACAAGGCCTCGATTTCATGAAGCCCGCTATCGAGGGGCAATATTTTGATGGACAAATTGAGAACGGGTTGTCGAGCTCCATCCACAGTCGTCTCGGCCTTGAATTTGGCAGCTGTGACGCTGTCAAACTGCAAACAATCTCGGTTCTCGTAAATCTCCTTCACCTCTTCGTGCAACGAATGACACCTTCCGCGGTAGGAAAGTTCTCCGTTCGGTCCTTCCAGCCGGATTTCGTATTGAAACTTTTTGGCAGCGTCGACAGTGTCCACCAACCGAACGGTGACGAAATGCACATTGATCAATGAATTGTGCACGTAATAAATATTGACAACGAATATGGCATTGTAGCACGTTTGCAACGCAGTCCACATCCAGGACGTCGTGTTGTTCTCTGCTTGATAGTCGATCACTTGAACGTACGCCACTAGTGGGAAAACTGGGCCTTCGAACGGCTTCAGATTCCCGTGTTCACGTTTGAAATTTTCCGCGTGCACAAGCATGAGATGCTCAACGACTTTATCCGCTCGTCCAGACCACTCCAAGCAATTATCTATAAACCTAAGAAAAAAGTCAGCTTGGTTAAATCAGAACAACATGTCAATTATTTCAGGTTTCCAAAATTCGTGCGCCAGACACCCGGAATGATCAAAAATTTCCAGAAAATCGAAAAATGAAACGTTAAATGAAAGTAGAAGAACAAAAGCTCAATTTTGTTGTTTTTTTTCATTTCAGGATCTTTCACTTGAATACCCAACACCCGATGTCCACACCGCTGAGATTTTCTTGACTTGTGTAAAGCTGTCGCCTGCATTTGTCAGCTTAATAGATTTTCAGTTTTCTTTGAAAAATGAGAATATTCCATCAAAGAATAAGTTCTAAACGTGCGATGCATTGTTTTTCAATTAATCGAAGTAATTTTTTTTCTTGAAATGATCAATCAAAAATCTTGGTGGTGCCGATGTCTTTCAATCAAGGAAATACGGTATGTTGAGCAAACTTGACTTGATTTTAGTCCAGTCATTCCTTCAGACGACATCTGTTGGAAACTTCAAAGCGCACATTTCCATGCAAAAAAAACTGCTGTAACTGTACTGTAAATTCTTATAACTGTATCTTCTTCCGATTTAGAATAACGAAACTGAAGATTTGAACTCACTTGTAGGGACACTCGAAAAGTTTGTACTCGCATTCTTCAAGTTCGTGCGTTGTTTTCCGAGAACGATGCAGCATCAATCCACAGCCTTGTAAAGCATACTTGCAGGGAAACTGAATCGTGTCGCCAACTTTCTCCATAACTAAACATCTGATGTTTCCCAATTCCTCTCTGCATGACGGACAATGGCTCAACTGAAAATCGGAGACAGATTTCTGGTTAATTCTTTTTCTTCTCGTAATTAATACTTGACCAGAGCGCATTTTACGATTGATGAAAATGAGTTGTGAAAATTGGATGCCCACAACATCCTTTTGCCAGCTACGGTTATTACGGAAATTTTAAAGACAATACCGGTGGGTTGAACTCACCCATATTGAGTTAAGTGCAGTACCAACGAAACGCTTGAGCTAATTCATTTACGCAATTCTTTTTTTCTTCGCAAGAAAAAGTGCCAAAATTTCACGCTGACTACAAGCTGGATTCGTGCATCTCCTGGAAACTTATCACATAAAATTTCTTGAAACGAAATTCCCCTCAAGATAACGGTAGAATTGCGCACCCATTCGAAGGATTGCAGAGGCCTACCTTTCTTTTGCATCCGTGACAAATGGCGTGACCCTGGCAACATTGATAAGCAGGTGGTAGGATGTACTCGTAGCAAACGGGACACTCAAACAAAGACAATAGTTCCTGAGTGCTCAACAGCGATAGGGTCTGAACGGATGCTTCAACTCGTGAACAGCATCCGACATCAGCAGTGGAGTCCAATGTCGACGGGCCAGAATCGGGGCTCACAGATCGCGTCAAACAATCCCCACTTCCGGTCACCGGGGAATACAAAGAGGTGGCTTCGCACGACGTCATGTCAATTTATGCGTGATTGCACGGAAGGAGGGAGGGGGATAAACAAGCGAGCGGATTAACTGTGAACGGACCTTCGAGACCTGAAACGGTATCGCAATAATCCATCAGATATCGCACAGCTTTTTCCCCATGCCCGGAAGAAAGATTTGGGAGACCTAAATCACGAAGTACCGCAAAAATGCGCGTCCACAGAATCTTCTCAATTTCCACTAAGAAAAAACAAGAAAAACTGATTTTACACGCATTCATACACCGTACCAGGGCACATTTGCAACCTCCTCAAAAAAATAATTTACAAATGTCCACGCATCACCATACAAAATCATCAGCCTTTCATTCTCACTTCGAAAACAAGATCGGATCAAAACACGAAGTCTAACGCATGGAGGCCTTCGGCGAAAACGTTTATCTTATGACTTGTCCCAGACGCAGTCAAAACCTGCAATACAAGAAAAAAAATATTTGAAGATTAATCAGGAGTCGGGAAAACGATCACCGAAACAAATCAAATCTTCCTGACGCCAAATATTTGACACGGCAAAGGGGAATTCAGCAGAAAAGAACGCAAGCGCTTGAGAAAGGTTATGAAACAACGCTGATGGAATTAACGAAGTATGATAAAAAAAACAGCAATAACAGCGGTTATCGCAACTAAAGAGTGCTGAAGGGCAATAATTATACAGAAATTTTAAATTGAATTTCTGTACGTCCAGACGTTTCCCTGGCAGTTCCTCAAATACAGTAGTCCAAATAAACCGCATGATGCGTTATTCGAAATCTATGTTTTCAAAATTAGATAAAAACTTGCCAGGTCAAGAGAGCCACAACTGACGAACAGAGTCAAATAATAATAAAATTTTCACAGATTTAAAAAAAAAACATCGCATTCCACATCGGAAGTTAAATCTGCTACCCAGACGACCGGTTGGCCCTTAGCAGTAATGTTCACCATATTTGTTGATCATATTACATTGGTACGTGTATACCGAATGACCTCCGTCAGTTCTTCATTACTCAGATAATGGGTTCTTAGGGAACTAGCTTGAAATTCTTGTGATAACCATAAAAACCCGAACAGAAAGATGTAAAGAAAACTACAAGCATTTCCAATTATTTCTCGCGCAGCGAGGCAAGAAATGAATCTTACCGGACGATCGTCTTTGAAATCCCAGCCGTGATTCACATTGTACACACACGTTGACGAAGTTGGTATCCGTGCTTTCGCAACACCCTCCAAATTGAAACCGGACACATATTCAGACTGCCCTGCCACCAGTACGGTGTTGAGGCCCTTTTTGGAACCATTTTCACTTCCAATCAATAAAACAGACAGGACTCTCGAGGCATCCGCTTCGTACGTTACTGACATTTTCCGGGAGCCGATGTGCCACAACGAGGCTTTCATACCGCCACCACAAACCTGTACACAAGAGATGAGGTACAGTACTGTACAGTACAGTGATTGAATAAATACTTCATCTACAGCTACCATTACATAACGAAGCGCTGCTGAGCAAACACAATTCCTATTACTTGTTGAAAGCAAAGAAAGAGCCATTCATTCTTGTTTAATTCAGGCATGTGTGAAAATCCCGCCCTAATCTCAACGCGGCATCGTTCACACAGCCAGGACTCAACTCACTCACCATCCAATCGGAATGCACATCAACGGCGGTCACACCGAGTCTTCCGCTTCCGGGTGAAGCTTCGGGAACTGAATCAGCAGGAGTAATTCTGAATGCAGGGTCTTTTCCCTTTCTCACGTCCCAAAAGGATACTATTCCATCGCTCTGCCCACCAACTATACAGTTTTCATCTCTAGCCGCTACTGAAAAAACGCTGGGTTTACTTCCGGCCTTCGTATTCGATGCTCGAAGGGATTGCTTCGTCTTGCCGGCATGTGGATCGACGACCGACACTAGTCCAGATGAACAGGCGAATAGCAAGGAGTTCGTGCCGGGAAGAGAAGAGATGCCGTGGATTTCACCAGGTTCGCTGAAGATAAAAGTTCAGCGATATAAAGTTGAATCTCGATAACTGCAACCTCCGTATGTAATTTTTTTTTCAAGTCCTTGTCTGATTTCTCTTGGAAACAATGCATTATCAGCCTAACTCAAAGGATTTCCCCGTCTAAACTCGAATTTTCCAGAGGCCTTTTGGCTATTAATTTATCGACACAGGAAAGAGAAAAGCATTAAAAATGCAACTTGATGCGCCATGGCGGGAATTGAAAGGCTAACAGTGCAAACGAACCCTAGCATCCAAGGTCAGAATACACTGTATTCTGCAGTTTGAAGCCACAAAAAATCACACTTTAATTTCCTGCAAGTTTTCAGCTATATTCGGCAAAAAAAGCTGTTTCCGTAACTCGAAACTTCTCTAATTCGAAATGCTCGCTGGTCCCTCGCAGTTAGACTTGATGAGGTTATACACTACAGTAGCACGAAATACTGTAATCTGTAAGTGCGACTTCAGTAAGTTAGAATATTGTCTTTCGGGATTAACCGATCTATTGAATAATCGTCTCACCTTCCATACAAATTTCATCCTTAAAAAGTTCACTACGAATTCGAGCCAAGAATGATTCAGAGGTCAAGCCTAAATTAAGTATTCGTTATCATTTTCAACTACAGTACAATAATCAGACAAAATGTCCTCACCCAAGATAGATTTCTAAAAGATAACCCAGGACATACAACAGTTATAAAAATTGCCTCGTCTTCAGAAAACGGAATAGTTCTTCAGCCGTAAACTAACCCTTGCGGAAGAATATGGAGTATCACGGGATTGGGCTTTGCTTGTCGATACATGGGCTCCCAAGGCCACACGTAAACAGGCCCGTCTCCAGCAGCTACGAGAAGACGATCAGTCGCAGCCATGGCATACACATTTCGCATATTGCCTGTCCATTTCATCCATGGTGTATTCACAGGACGATCCGAAGGATAACTCGCAAATCTGCTTGATGAACCAAAAACTCACTTCTACCCTCACTCAGACAATTCAGTACAGAATTCAATGCAATATGGAAGGAATGCAGCAATGAGCGCATGAACATGAATTCAAGAAAGCGGCTGAAGAGCACTTGAAAATTGAAAAAAAAAAAACCCCAAACATCAAATTTTCAAAAGTATGTCCAAAATGGTCGTAGCATACACGCTAGATTCATGCTAGTTCGACTAGGTTAAGATTACGTCAGGTCCGGTTAAATTACCATGTCTCGGCCGAATTCAAAATTAAGACGACACCTGCAACTCATAAAATAAAGATAAGGCGAATGTTGCAATGCAAAGGATCGTTGATTCCGCACATGCATTACAGCTTAGTCACGCAGACCATCGACACATCCATTTAGGTCAGGTATGTTGGTTAGTGCTCAGTAACGTTCTGCTTACCCTTCAACAATGCTCGATAAAAATACAGTACGGTAATTAAATTCAATTAAAAGAACGGATCAATTGCTTGCTCGAGTATATTTCTATGAAGTAAACCAGAAAATTTTTCGATTCCTGGACCGTTCCGCGAGCTCTGCTGAACATTTTACGCAAATATTTAGGACACTCACTCAAAGATTCCGATTTCTCCATAGTTATTCCCGGCAACAAGGAAGTTTTTGCAAGGTGAAATCACATGACTGTAAACCGTCATATACTCTTGCTTCAATGATAGTTTGGAGCATTGCCGCATATATCGTTGCTCCGCATTCACTTCAATTGCCGCGGACATAATTCAAATCTAAGGAAGGAACAACGAAAAATTACACCTCTTTGAGTCGAAATTTTAAAAGACTCCGCAGTACAGTAATAACAAAAACACATAACTCATAAAATCCCATGCATTGTCACAGTAAAAATTGCCTTCCGGGAAAATCTCGAAAGCTCACACGCGTAAAAAAAAAGCACAAAAACGACGGATTCCTTTTTTTTTTCGGACGGATCAGTTTCTCACAAGCAAGCACCTCCCGGACAAGATACATTCATTACTCGCGCAACAAATTCTGACGTTTTCATCATTATTTCAACAATAGGCGAAAATTGAAATCGTTTCAAAAACGGAAGACTTCAACGCACTTGAAGGCGGGATTTGTCCCATACGGCAAAGAAATTCTAACAAGAAAAGTCGACGCTTCGGCTTGGGAAATTTGGCTGGCTCTGAAATCACAACTCGCTTCAACAATTGAAGAAAAACTAATCCGAGAGATCTCATTACCAAATGTCTTCGAATCAGAAATATTAGCCATTGGAATCATTTTAAAGCGTACGCAGTTCCAAGTCCGGTTCCACCGGCAGATGTTTCCATACGCTTGCGGAGTCGCCTCGACTCGACAAGAAACAAAATACCAGATATTACCTGGAACATTGTACCCACAACTCCAAATGCGAACGACCAGCTCAAATAATTGTGTTCCCAGTGTGGCATGAAATCCCGGGAATCGCCCAGGGCACCGAATATTATCACCGCTATTCCACCGAATATTCCTGAAATAGAAAAATGTGACGTTACGCAACGCAGGGAAACCAAACACAACTTTCCCACATTCCAAGTTGGATAATTTTGCATAGAATCAAGAGCATCAACAAAGAGTCCTTTGATGGAACGCATACAGAAAAACCACGATATGAAGGGTGGATATTTAAAGAGGGTCAAAACGACTTATTAAAATCAGAAAATTCTTAGAAACGTCGTTCATATTTTTTTCCAAATTTACGAGAAACCCAATGAATAGCTTTCAAAATTTTTACTTGAGTTCAGGCGCTCAATGGATTTACGCGAAGTCGATGGTGTTTATAATGACACCAACATTAATTTGAATGAATTAGTGATTATATGCAGGTGAAGTAAGGTGACACTCGAAAACGAAGCATGTTCACGACAGGTACGGTATGCAGATTGTGGAAAGAAATTGAGAATTCTTTCCACTCATTAACTTACTGAAAATCCAGCACAAGTAAAATCCTGAAATGATGTGAATACTCACCAGCACCAACAGATCCGCACCCAATGATTCTCAATGCTTGCACTTCCCAGCTCGTTGGACAAACGAAATTGAATGCAAGAACACCTATACAAACCAACATTCCCATCGTGAAAGAAAATGTGAAGAAAGTCTGCGTCGCCGTGAAAAAGGCTGAAAGAAAAAAAAAAAAACTCGAGTTCAAACCATTCTCAATCTACATCCTGAAAATTTTCCGGCATACGTGGGAAAAGTACATCACTGATGAAGTGGAGCTCTTCGTCGAAAATCCAATAGCAGCCATGAAACGCTCGTTCGTAAAGAAAGTTAGGGTCTTGAAATCCATTGAAACACACCTCCCAAAGACCTGGACACATTTTTTTACGCATCCAAATACAATGAAATAAGGTAAAATACACGAAAAATTCGCAGTACAGGAAGAAATCCCATAAAAGTGATCTTCAATTATGAATTCATGGAAGATTCCCGAATTCAGCGAACTTACCAAGTTTATGAAATTTCGGATCAGGAAGGAGTCCGTCGTTCGCCAACCAAGAAGGAGTAGAAAACGCGATGATCATTATAAGAAACGTGAGCAACGACAACCAACACGCGGCCGTCAAATTTCTGCTCATCCTATCACTCATCGCAACGCCTTCGCCGACGTTTCAAAACAGATCGAAATCCAGATTCAAAGCATAAACAAATCAGATCACCACTGAAGATGCACCTGAAAACCGGAATACATCAACTAAGCAGCAAAACAACTCGACAAAATCAGAGGAACACCAGTTTAGGTTTGATCTTAACGTTTATGCATTTACCAATGCCTCTTCCCGAAGGAACACACTGATACACGCGAATGGATAAGATCAATTTCCATCCTCGCTCCTGTCGGGACTTCCTGATGAACAGGATGATTTAAAATTGTCTTAAATTGCCATTCTCGTGCTTCCGCTACATTGTTAATTCCTGGAGAAGAAAAATCGCATCCGTAAGTAAATCATTTTTTCTTTTTTGTCAATTCGGACAAACCATAATGGCGTTCACGATGTCGTTGTTATTGTTCTTAAGCGCTTTCACGGCTTTCGGGCGCGACACTCCCGCTTGACACATCACGAGCTCGATATCCTTCTCCTCAATTCCGCTCTCGTCGACTTCACCTTCTTCTTCACTTTCCTCCTAAATGATAAAAATTCATCATATCCACAAGGATGCATAAGAATTTCCCAAAGCGATCGGCAATTTAAATAACAGAAGAGAAGTTCGCCGATTGCATCGAATTTATTTCAACCACGCCCGAATCGAGGGAAGTAGGCCAACTTTCATTTTCGTCGAATGAAATGGGGGAGCAAAGCTATCCACTTCATAAATGACAGCAATGAAAATAAGCTTTGCTTCAACAGCCTCAAATCTTGTTCAGTACTTGTACTTAATATTATAGTACAGTACATGAGTAAAAAACCCACCTGCCCCAGAACGCGATTTTACTCCTTACAGAAATTCAGCTTGAGTTTAAGCTTTACGTTTTGCTTGGTTTTTCAACACGTTTGGTCCGGTTCGAGATAGGTGATGAACCTGAGAAGCGTTTAAAATTTGGAATGCATGGGGAAAATGATATGGTGGTACCAAGATTTTTTTGGTACTCCAGAAGTCTAGAAATATCATACTGTCTTCCAATGAGTTTAGGATCATTGTCAAGCAAATCTAACCCCCTCGTCTTTAAGCATACGAAAATCAAGAGAAAACAAACCTGAATAGACGCAGGGATGGCTGCACTGGCTTCTGCAGCAGTGCCCATTTCGGGAGCCTTGAACTTCTCAGCGGCAGCCATTTGGGCTTGCTGGCTCAGGTCTTCGATCTTCGCCTCCCCGAACACAATGTAGGTGTCAGAGGCAGGATTCTTGTACACATCGGGCTTGTTGATAACGAAGAGGATATTTTTTGACTTTCGGATCGTTACTCGGTGCACACCCTGGACTTGTTTCAGGCCAAGCTTGGACATGAGCTTCCGGGACTTCTTCTCGCTGCGACTTTGCTTCGCTTTGCTCACGGTTTCCTCGCTCAGTCCAGCAGCGGCAGCGACCTAAACGATTCAACAAACAATCAAGAAACGAAAATTTCTGCGCCAATATTTCCCGCTGGACTAGATGATACGCATGTCGTCAACATCTTGAACGGTAAAGATGAACTACTCTTGCGCCATCATAGATGCCATTACGTTACGTTAGATTTTAGAAACGCTTTTCGGTGGAATGGAAGTACTTGGCGAAAAAGTGAGAGCCCTTTCTTTTCTAGCTGTATCATTCGTCACTTTAGCATGAATCCTGTTTCGTTATTTTTAGACAGGGGTAATAAGGATTCAATAAAATTACTGTACCTGGCTTTGGGAAGTAGAAGGTCCAGACTCCTCCAACTCCGGCACGGAATCGTCAGAATCCGATTCGGTTCCAGACCCAGACGCACTGACTTTCAACTCCGCCTTAGCGTCACCGGCGGCGGCCTTCATTTCTGTAAGCTCTGGCATTTTCGCGAACTAAAGCAGATTTCACGGAGAAATTGATTTAAAAAAGAATCGAATGGACCGCGAGAATCTGCGAACAAAAATACAAGAATTTCGTAGAATTTTTGAAAATGGTTACCCGCAATATCACGGGAATAAACTTGGAAAATATGAACCAACTTTCAAATTACTTCTGTGAAATCTTGGCGCATTGCCAGAAACTAATACAAATTTAGTGAACTGCTGTTATAAGCATGAGAAGCGAAGAGAAATTCTTCCGCAAAAATTTTAAACAGACGTGAACCCACTCAGCAAGTCTCTGATGTATTTCTCAAGAAGAAAGAGAAATCCAGCGCAGGTGGTTGGAGACAAACTCTGTTAAGAGTTTAAATATAAATAAGATGGTTAAATTATTGCGCGCTGAAAAGGACATCGTCAAATCGTGGTGGAAAATGATAAGATATCACAAATCCCGCGCGGTCGAATCCTAATTTGAGGAACATCGTACTCCTTGTTCAATTTAATTCGCCGACTTCTTCCGATCACTTTCCTCCTCCTTGCTGTTTTTCAAGTGCTTTTTTCTGCTTCTCTCGCATCAATTCAGCGTCTCTGAAAGCAGAAAATTTTCCGATGAAATCTAATCTGGTTCGGCACGAACTATGCGACGAAATCACAACGTAACAACGAAGGTTCATCATTACAAAAGCCTTAATTTCCACTCACCTATGTTTTCTCTCTTCCAAAGTCATTCCTCTGTTTGCGCCTTTATCAGATGACGTTTGGCTTTTCTTCTGATCTTGCGACTTCTTGATATTTTTCTGTCGCGCCAACTCACGTTGATTTCCACCTTCGATGACCAAAAAATTACTTCTCTCTCAAAAATCTTGAAACTCGAAAGACTTACGAGTCATCTTTCCCCCAGCTGGACGACGAAAAGAAAAATTTTCTAGGCACCCGAGACTCACGCCGTTGAGATTAAGAATGCAATATTCAATTCAACCGAACTTTCCGCTGAAATCAGAGAAAAACACACTCAGCTTTCTACGGTTTCTTGAATAATCCTTAATTCCCCAGATCTATTTTCATTCGTACCACCGCGAAAAAAAGCGAAAAGCGTACAGGAACTGTATAAAATCTGCGAAAAAATGCAAAAATGCAACCATGAGGACTCAAGTCACACAAAATGTACCCAAAATATCAGGAAAAAAATTTTTTTAAGTCGTTTTTTTTCTACAAACATTGCTATATTTATTTCTCCTGAAACACGGGACATGAATCCTGAAATATAGGACAGATTCGTTCGACTCAAAGAGCGTGAATATTTTAGCTGCAAACCATGTCGCGCATTTACTCAATTTCCTCCTTATTTCTTTATTATCAGAAAAGCGAAAACTTCCCAATCAATAGCATTCAACAAAAACATGATCTCTTCCATAAAAAAAATCGTACCCGTTTTCGAATTACACAGTGGTGGGACATTAACCGGTTTTCAGAATTTACTGAGGATCTTAAAATTCAGGTGCCTGGCCATCGAATGCGATTATTTATAGGTACATTTTAAAGAAGATGATTTGAACTTGAAAATAACCGTAAAACCATCAGCCACCCTCGTCAGACCTTCCTTCTCAGCATTGAGATCCTACAGAGACCACGAAGAAGAAAGGAATAAACTAAGATGGCACTTATGTCAACAAAATTGCTAGGAAAAAAGTTGCTTTGCACGAAAATGCCGTTTGAGCAAGTAAAGCAGACGTTGAAAATAAATTTCCCTCCAGAAACAAAATATCCCTTTGGATATTATTGCACGAAGTTCGAATCAGCAAAAAAAACTCGAACATCTCAACGATCGTTACCAAAAATCCCAGCGTTCAACAATACCTAGCAGCATTATGTACATTCTTCGTAACTGGCCCTTTCGAACGGAAAAGCTTTCTTTCTCGCAAGCTCCTCCGAAACTCATGCTCCGAATCAAATTTCAAATGTGTGATGTGATGCAGAAACAAGGTACTCAGTTTGACGGAAGGAAAGATCAAACATTCCTCCTGATCCCATTTTTGTAGTCGAATAGCGCTTCAGTACTTCCCGAACTCTTCGACCTTCTCTGCCATTTTGAACTGTTCACGGATACGAGGCCTCACATCATCCTATAGAAAGAAAATTCAGCAAGCATTTAATGCGAAAAAATTTTCACCACATATCGAGAATACTCACTAGGGTAACTAGATGCTCTAGGAACGGAAGAAGCTTCATGAGCTCGCAGTCCTCGCGATCCGCATACCAGCTCTCAATAGGAATGCCATTCTCCAGATTGTACCCAAAAGCTTGCGGCGAATTGTCAACGATGATAGTTTTGCTCAAATCTCGTCCCAGAATCGACAAATCTTTCACGAAATTGCCGTTCACTGGCACGCAATGTTCCCTGAACAATCTATGCCTGCAAAGGATAGGGTAAAAAACAGACAATAACGTATGCATGAAATAATGCTATCCACCAGCATTACTTACTTAATCCAACGTCGATTCGGATCGAGCAGGTTCATCAATTTGTCCGCGTAGACCCGCTTTGAGGCCGTAAAAAGGATAACTTCAAAAAGTTGCGATACGCGTTCGAGAAAAGTATCAAAATGCGGACGTGTTCGAACAAAAATGTTGTACTCCGCTTCACGGAAATCCACAGTGAAAGACAGCACGGCGTCTTCCAACGGATCCAAGCTGCAATGAACCAGTGTCTCGTCCTGTCGACAATATTGATAATCAAGAACTAGATCCAAAATGGATAACGAAGCACCTTACCAAATCCAAAACGAGAGAGAAAGCAGGGGCTGAACGAGTTCTCAGAGGCAAGGCCGGGGTAACCGCTCGACAATCAGGATTCAATGGAGGCAAATTTCGGATGAATACAAACGGGTTCACGAATTCGTCATAACAAGCAGCAGCTAAAGCTTCTTGATTGGCCAAGAACGTGACTTCTTCATCATCTTCGTCAGGAACTAATCGGCTGCAACAATTGTCTCCAACGAAAACAGGCAGACCATCGGGTAACCCGTGGCAGGTATACTGCCCTGAGGCAGAAAAGACGCAATGATTGTTCCAAAATGCGTCCAAATGCTCTTTCGTTTCTTCTGAAAGCCTTTCAGAAACTTGAATCACCAGGTCAGTCTCTCGCTGTCCGGAGTCGTCTTCATCATCGCTAGAAACACCGGAGTCACCACTTTCCGCTTCGATATCCTTAGAAGTCACGACGACAGTAACTTTCTCTGACACACTGAGCCTTTTCAGTCTTTTCTGAATATTCTTTCGTTCCGAAGTCGAACGAACACGACTTTTCGCACATCTCCGATTTAGAGTCACAACTTGTCTCCGTTGAAGAGTTTGCTTCGCGCATTTCCGCCTTAGTGCATTGGAGCTTCGCAACGATGGTGCCAAGTAGGAACTGGCCCTCGTCCTCATGATGGTATGCGGACGCACTTTCGTTCGATCGGCTACCCAAAGGGCGGGATACGCCAATAAGGGCACATGTTGCGAACGACCTGCGCGGAACTATTTCTGCAATCAATCCGAGACTTTCTCATTTTGTTTTCAAAAACAGATTCCGTGATACACACTCAAGAAAAAGACAACATGCGATCACTCCAAAAAATGTTTTCAGCCAAAACTCTTCATGAGTTTGGCGGGGTTTTCCCTCCGCTCACGGAAGCTACCTCAAAAAAGCACCGACTCAAAACACGTCGACATAGAATGCGTTCAGCGAGTGGGCCATTGATACATTACTCGTGAAGGCCTATCCAACAGGCCGTGCTCATACAATTCAAAACACCACTCATTGTCAGTTGCGATTTCTTGGCAAATCGCCCGATTTTCTGTGGGCGGCCATCTTGACCTTGGTCGACTTCAAAAGCAGAGTCGAAATGCTAGACCCACAGAACGGTCTTCATTTGAATCCCATCCATGCATGAACGGAATTCTGTGTGCGCGCTAGCTCCGATAAATATGACCATCCCTTTACATATATTGCGTTTTATTCCTGCATGCAGATACTGTGCTTCCCAATAAAGTTTAGTCTAGTAATCCTGGCAGTTTTCTTCGAGAGTTGTCCGTTTTCCTTTAGTCAGATTCACCTTCAATTTTTTGCGGTTGGTTTGTTGTGCTCCGATTCGAGTTCCAACAAAGTTTTGTTAGCTGTTTCTCCAATCATGAAGAACGAGAATAAGGCGAGAAACGTGCAAGAAGAAGCGAAGATCCATAAAAGCCCGTAGTATCCCACGGTATTTGTGATCAGATAGAATGTGTTCGTCACTAGGAATTGGTTCGACGTCATAACTACGAAGCACAAGGCTACTCCAAAATTTGACACCTGGAAAATCGAACAGTTTTCAGAGACGCGAGCTCAATTGAAACCGACACTTTACAATTAGAACTTTCCTTGGTTCTTTTCAAGCAAAAAAACAGTTACAGGAAGTTAAAATCCGCGAAAAATTGTTCGAACAATTCCTCCTCAGTCACGATTTCTCACACTCATTTTTGAGTACGCAAAAAATAAAATTTTTTAAGCTTTCTGATGAGCTTTCTCACTAACACATGTGAGAGATTTATTTGAGAAATGTAGGATGAAAAAATCCTGTAGATTGCAGCTCAGACAATACGTAACACCAGCAGTTTAAATAAGCAGCATACCGTAGACAAAAATCTCTGTACAATTAATAAGTTTTCAAGCTCCATTTTTTGCCAAAAATTCTTTTTTAGTATGCTTGCTTTTCGGCTGAAGTTAGTTTCGTTATCGAAAGGTTAGAGTCTCTACTTTTAGGTCAAAAATATGTCGGTAATTCGGGACAAAACCTGCATTCGACTTTTTGTCGATCGGAACGACGTAATGACGCGCCATCTCACCTTGCTAGGCAGCATTTCTGCAATCGCCAAATGCACAACATTAGCCAAACCGATGCTGTAGCAAGCCAACCACAAGCTCAAGCCTGTGTAGGGCCACCAGTACGTCAGATTCTTCAAGAATGCATCGTTTATTTTCCCGTGAGTCTCGAAATCCTTCGTAACAGCGAACACGTAAATTCCGTTGAGCCCGTGGGTCGCAGCCATCACAAGGGCGCTGAGGCCCATTTGCAGACGCCTGCTCACTATTCCGACAATGAACGTTGATGCAAACTGGGCTACGAAGTCGGAGGCCTTGGGAAATGAAAAAAAAAATGTTTTTAAAAAGTTAAAATTGAGATGAAAGAAATGAAGCCCAAGGGATGAGATGATTTCGGATGAAAGTAGAACAAACCTGAGCGATTATGTTCCCTGTGCTTGGATGAATGAGTTTGTTGAGATGCATCTTGTCAAATATCTCTAGGGCATAACTAACGACGATTGTGTAGCCTGCCCAAGGTTTGAATACGTGAAACAGGACAGCTTTGAAAAGCGGCCAAGCGTATTTTCTCTGATGGATTCTTTTCCATGAAAAGTCCATGCCTCCAATCTAAAAAAAAAAAAAAGGAAAAAGAAAACACAAAACTTTTCAAGAGCGGGAAACAGGTACAGTATTTCCACTTCCTATAAGTCTAACGGAAACATGCAACTTGGAATGGGCTAAAAAAAAACTTCGTCACATCAGAATCATCATCATATTTTTTTTTAAACTCTAATGACGATGAAATTCTCCATTAATGTCATACAAGTTTTTCCAGGATCTTTCAACCCGGTATAGAGATTACAACACTAACCAAAACTAGCTTAACCTTGGATATCCTGACTCAACTTATACCAACCAACTGACCATCAGCCTTCATGTATATTATTCTGGTCATGTAGTGCCACCATTTTCCTTTACAATTTTTTGACACTAAGCAGAAGTGGAATTCAATCAAGGGATGCATTAAAATGTATTGTACTTCAGTAACTTCACCATGCTGAAAAACAAAATTTAGGCAATTTTGCATGTTTTTTCCTCTCTAGATTGTATACAGTATTACATTTGTTCTTATGATGATTCACATCGTACTCACAATAAAGAATCGACGATGTATTTGTAGGTTTTGTATTCGTACGTTTTTTTTTTGTTAATGTTGTTGAATGTACAGTAGTTTTCATGAACTGGGATTCCTACGAGGAAAAAGGCTGCGATTTTCCCGAATTTCACCCTTGATGAGGTACAGTTCTTTTGCAATTCAGTACGTTCAGGAGAATTTTATGAAAAAGTCCTACTTTTGGTTAAGAAGAAGTGCTGGAAAAACCCCACGGAAAATGGCGTTTTTGTAGCCTTTTAATTTCGGGTTTGATTTTAAACACGGTAGATTTGGTACATGAAGCATCACTCTATGATGAGTCTATGCTCTATAAAAATGGTTCCATCGTCATGCATTCCACATATACGATGAAGAAGAATAATACTGCAGTAGAAACAGTAAAAAATAAAAAAATAGCCCCACTGTCAGGTAAGACTTGAGGTCCTCCAAGTCCCCCTCAACATTTTTGGCTTGAGGGTGATAGTAGAGCAGGCTGTTCCGAGCCTTTCGTTCGTCGCCCACTCGTAACCAGTGAAGGGCCGAATCCGGAACCCGGGCCACAAATGGCAAAAACAACAGGTTAGACACGGAGGCTATCATCCCGATGTGGTCCCAGCGCAACCAGCCACCTAGCAAAGAGGTAACCAGGGTTCCAACGCTGACGGCCAAGGCCAAGGAGGAAATCGCCCAGTTCCGGCTCCGTTCGTCCGTGATTTCCAATACAAATGCGTGGCTCACGTTTGTCCTCGCACCCAAAATTGTCCCTTTTTTTCGTGATTTAAAATAAATAAATAAAACGGAGTAGAATTCACTGAAGTTCGCCCCAGTACCTTATTCACTATTCGGGTACCACGTACGCCTTTTTTTGTTGCGTGCGTGGTACTGTGTACCTGAATCCCAGTTTAAATATCAAGGTGGACGTTTTACTCGAGTAAAACATCTGTAAACTTTTTGAAAATAGATTTATGGGGGGAAATATGGAGTTCATCATACACACAGATATCAAGAGCAATGCATTCTGAACCGCTTTTTACACGCTGCCGAACTGGAAAAAAGAACTAAAGGTGATGAATTGGGAAACAATTGAGTTTTCAACCATTTGTTTCCATCTGACTCATGAGAAATTATGATACACGCCTTGAATCATTTAATGCGTTTCCTTCTTTGATAGAGTCTTATAACAAAACGATTCTGACCTGAAAAGAATCGCGCCAATGAAAAATCCGTTTTGTGAGATTTGAAAATTTTTTTGGAAATTGATTGGCTATAACGATTTTACATTATGACACAAAAAACACGGTGCAAACATAGGGTTTCTCGATATACAAATAAATGCACGTGGACTCTCTCTCCCTCTCTCTCTCTCTCTACAACGATTTTTATTTTTATTTATTTTTTGGTCCCTTAGGAATCTCCCCCAGGTTATTGGGGTTTTTGCATTTATTTTTTTCCGGTCCCTTGAATTTTGTTGCAATGCGAGTCCACCTGTAAAGCCTGATTCGGCCGAATTGAATAAGAAAAACTTTGAAAATTGAATCTAGCAGTAAATCAAACCTTGAGATAATCTGGCGATGATCATTAAAGGAAGATTCGTCACGAAGCAAAATGGCAGCCAAGCGGCAGCCATTGGCAAGAAAGTCGCCAATAGGAAAACGCGTTTCGAGAACTTCTCCGCGACAAAAGCCCCGAAAAAGTAACCAACGATCAATCCGGCGTAATACGTGCTAACTGCAGATTGGCACACGCAAAACAATTAAGTGCGTGCCAGCAATCGAATAAAGCGTATAAAGTTATAATAACCGATTGCTGCAACTTCGCTCTGCGCCAATTTTTGCGCTCTTGGATCGGCAAGAAAGGATGGAATGGCGACACTCGTGTATTCGCCGCAAAAACCGGCATAAATCCCTGTCGCGACATGGTGCAGGGATCCCAGAACCTGTCAAAAAAACCTTTAATGAAAAATGAGCCAAAATTGTTGGCACAGGGGTTTATCCGTAGTGAAGTATCCGGGAGATGTGCATCACCTGATCGTTTTGCAATTTTCAAGGCATTTTCGGGCTTTCAATTTAGGACAGGAGTTTAAAATTTTAAAGCTGTGTGGATTTCACTGAGTTTTTCAGTTTTTAAGTGCCTAAAATTACCAAGAAGCACTTCATTGAATACTGTAATTTTTTCTCTTGTCAAGACAGCACCATTTACAATTATATAATTCCCCTTCCGAAGATTCATCCTGATGGTCACATCCAAAAGATGTGGCGTGAAAATTAGAAAAAATATATCGTACCTCTTTATCCGAATCTAAGTCGGGGAAGGAAAATTGCAAGAAACAAACGCGGATCTAGGAGAACGTTCATTCAAACTAAATGTTAGCGACATCTACATAAGATCTTTTAAAACGCTAATTTGTAAGCACCATGAGTGGCCGTTGCAGGACGTGTGCTGCGAATCTGCTCGTTTTGGTCGGGCACGCCTCACGTCAGCTAGCATGACTTGCGCCGAAATCAATGTTATTGGCCCATTGTATTTTTCGAAAACGCTTAATTGTGTACAGTATTAGCTGATTCAAAACTCGCATTATGTGATTTGAACTTAACCGCGCTTATTATTCAAAACCTTTCCTTCGTTCATCACTTCGAAGCACTGCAGGTAAACTATAAAATATCGAGTGCGTCAATTCACGATTGTGAGACCAGCACATGATATATTTTCCGCTTCTTCTACTCTTTTGACGACAAAAGGGTACGATGTCACAGGGATTCAAAGAAATCATCAATTATGAAATAAATACGGTTCAAATAAATGTTACCTCATATTTTTCGAAAAGCACGGTTTACGAACTTGCGGGCGAAATGATCCATTTCCTGATTCGCTCCTATTTTCGAGGTTTCTTTGAGTTACGGGTTCATCCGTGATATCTTCATCAGGATTTACGACATTTTCACGGGCTGTAAAATCGTCCCGAGTTTCCATTCGATCGAAACAGAAGAGTGAAAACCCAAGTAAAGCTGTGGTTAAATAAGTTCCAGGAAAAAATTAACGCGTCGAGATTTCCTCGAGAAATGGGTTTCTTTGTCTTCGGATACCAACGTTTCGGCCAAGTTTCAGTTTTTTTTTTCTTCATACCATCTCCAACGGAATTGTGTTGTGGCCCCGGAGGGAATTTCCGTGGGGCGAGATTGCGACTACAAATGAAACGTGCATTATGCCGAAAGTAGGCTTCGTTTTCACAGCAAATACGGAAAGGCAGAGAAGAGCGGAGAAAAATTTGCATTGCTGATATTTGCCTTGCTTCGCCTTTGCTATATATGCTGAATTGCTGACGCTGTGCTGTGCTGTTGATGATGCCTGATTTCTTCTCCTTTTTTTCTTTCTTCTCCTTGCTGCGTGTTTTCTGCGAAAGCGTCGGATCCCTCGGGCACGGGCTTCCTTGTTACTTTTCCCCGACTTGTTTCGGGGCCTGTTTTCTGATGTGCTAGAGAGAAAGCTTTGGAAGAAATTGATGACTTAGGGGACGGGTTCCACTTTCTTGGCACGTGGTGGTGCTTGTACGGGAACGCTTTGCACATTGTATGTCCCATTATCGCATCGTTTCAACTGGTGTTTGATGCATCCTAATGTGAGTCGGTGTGGTGGGAATTCCACCTCTTCCGTCATTTGGTGAATGCCGAGTTTCCTAACTTGTAAAACCGGTCTCGCTTCACTTTTCTCCCAAGTACTCATCCTTAACTTAGGTCTTATTTCGATATAATAAGAGGCATGCAATCTGAATAATTAAATTTGGATATGTATAAGAAACACACATGCTTTCACAGCTAATTGAAAATATTCGAGATGTAGTCGTGAAAAAGTATTTGTTTCGACTTGGAACACTGGGATGTTCGCACAGCTGGTACCAAATATTTACAATGATACCTCATAAAATGAAAGCTAAAAACAAAAACAAAAAGCCAATGTGCCACAGAAATTCAGGAATAAGTTGAGTTGGAATCAGGTTGGTTAATGATACAGTATAATATGATTCCAAGGCACATCCCCCGACTACAGTATTATTTGAGAGAATTTATTTCCTGCGCCGATTTTTGGTAAGGCTGATAGTTGGAGACGTTTCTGAAAATTGTGCCAGAGGGCTTATCCAAGGACTAAGTCTAAAATTTGGAGATGTCTTTGGAATGTTGTACACGAATCTATTTTAACCCTTGCCTAATGATAATTTTCGGAAATATTTTTCAAAAAGTTCTTGCTACCCAAGCTAAATAAATCGGGGAATTTTGCACTGAGGGAAAAGCTGTGGAAGATCAAATACAGGGAAAAATGTGCAATATAATTGATACTTCTACATGAGGACTTCTACTTTTGAAAGAGAAGAAATTGATTTGTAATGAGGAACCTTCCTTATTGGACCCAGACTATGGGAAATGTGTTATTCTAAAGGAAAACTTTGTTACTTTCAATTACAGTAGTATTGTAAGTATAATTGTACAGAAAAACTTGGGTTTGAAGGGAATAATCTTTCATTTCATGAAGATGCGTCATAATTTTACGAAAAATCTCCATAAAACATTTGCTTTAAACCATTGATTATTCCCAAGAAGTTACCTATGCAAGACATTTTTGGCTTGAAAAATCTCACGTGACCAATATATTTTCCACATACCACGTATTGGATTGATTGGGGAAGTCTGGAGAGAAAAAAATCTATGTGACCTCCTGTTGGATAACGTCCCGAGAGTCAATTATAACACAAACCCGTCTTGCTCTCATGCATTTCTTTACAAAAACTCTACACTGGACATACAACATCTTGGTCATTCCCCCATAGAGCTTTCTGCTTGACGCGCGGAATATGTTTAACTGCCTCAAAGTTTCTCTTTTATTCCAGAAGATTCTCCAGTCTCTGAAAAAGTGTGCGGTGATCTCGTCTCTCTTCCTCAGGGTGCAAGGGAATTTCAACTTTGACAGGCTATCGAGGCATGAGCGGAAAACCAGGCTTGTCTTTTCCTCGTTTTATTTTATTTTTTGTAGTTTTTTTTAAATAATTTTTTCGCACTCTAGAGACTCAAGAAGGCGCAGCACAAGAAGAAAAAAAAAAAGAAGAAAGAGGAATATAAGTCTGAAGAAAGAGTCAGTGATCAGAGAAGCATGCACGGCGTGAGATTGCTTTGCGGGCACCCAGCGCTCATTTTTCCCGGAAGAATCCTTGTGCAAAAAAAAGAAAGGCAGTATAGGAAATAAAAAATTTCTTCTCTCCTTGCCTCGCTTTCGCGCACGCCGAGGGAATTCTGCGGGCCCCCTTCGGAGACTGCACTTCGTTTCCGGCACGCGCCGAGCTCGCGAATTGCCAATAAAACCTCGAGGACAATACATCTCAATTTATTTCCCAGTGGCCTCGATTCTTGGCCCTCTGCTTATTTCTTCCAGGCGTGTTTTCCTTTTTCCTTAGGGGGCCGTTGCTTTTTTTTTTTTTTTTTTGGCAGGCGGGGCCCTGAGCGGGGAGAGGCTTTCTTGCCTTCAAGGAGGTGCCATTTTCTTGCGTGGCGGTGGAAGAGGAGGAGGAGGAGGAGGAGGAGGAGGAAGAAGTGGGAGTTTCTGGGGTGCAATTTGGCCAAGGACGGGGCGGGATCGGCGAAACGGTTTTTAGCTCACTTACTGGCTCCTCCCACTTTCTTGCCCAATAGGAAGGTTCCTAGGGAAGTCCACAGAGAATCAGTTGAGACACACGGCGAAAACAAAAGAGGCTGAACGAAGAATGAACTCGGATGATTGCTGGATTCTCGCGAAGTTGCGGATGTATTTTCCCTCAACTTTCTGACTAAAAAAAAATGCTCACGAGATAAAAGAAATGTACTGTACGTTCCTTGGTTCTCATGGAAAATGTGTAATTTGAAAATATGTACAGTATATAACCTTAAACGACTGGCTGTCGTGAGAATCTTCTGCGCTGTAAAGTAAAAGAGAAGATGACAATCTTTGTATTCACGCGCTTGCTGAAAAACTTGTGTACGAAAATACCGCTTTCAGCCTTTTTAAACTTTTCCAGAAATCCTTTTTTACTTTCGTGCGATTTTAAGAAACAACAATTGATACTTATCGACATTTACGTTTAATGTGAGGCTTGGACACATTTCTGCCAGAACCTGTTCAAACATGCCTTCTATGCTGCTGATTGAAAATATGCAAACATTTTTTACATTTTTACATTTTTCTGAAATTGTGAAAAAATTCCTTATCTCAAAAGACGATGATGTCAGGGCATAATTTTATTTTATTTTAACCGGGTCTGAATAAGTAAAAATAAGCATTTCAGGGCACCTGACATTTGCATTGGTTCTCATTGCAATTTGTTTATGTTTTTTCTTTGCTTCCCTAAAAGATGCTGAATTCAATAAAAATATAATTAAATATACAGTATTCAATATTTTTGTTCATTCTCAATTCAAAAATAAAAAACCTTAGAATAATCCAAATCCTTCATCCAAATAGTTTTTAATTAAGAAGGTTCAATCGCATTGGATTTGAAGGAATTTGCCAAGAACTAACTGGATACAGTATTTGAATTAGGGAGTTTTTTATGAAGGAGTTAAACATAGCAAAATCCAACTGTATCTATACTGTGTAAAAAGTTTTTCCCACTAACAATTACTGTAGTTGCTTGCATCCACTGGTTCCCAAACCACTACCTCGTTGTACACCAGTTGAACCTCCCTAAGTCAAACATCTCCCTAAGTTGCTTTTTTTTCAATCCCTGTCTAAATTCCCTTAAAATCAATGCATTAAAAACCTCTCCCACTCAAAGTTTGTTTTTCTCTCAAGCCTCCAGAAATCAAATTTCCTAAGGCCTTTTGGCTATTATTTCCTGCAATTATGAAAGAGAGAAGCAATAAAGCAAAAAATTTGATGCATCTTTAAAGGAAATGAAAGACTGATTGAGCAAATGAATCCATGATGTCCCCAAGTTCAGAATACTCTAAACCGGTGTTCGACAACCTGTGGACAGGTGCTAGTCCACAGAAGTTTGTTGCCAGTCCACAGGAATTTTCTCCAGTCTAATGCATTTTTCACAAGCAGCAACAAAGGACACTACAGTATCTTTTTTTGACAAGACAATGGTTGTAAAATTATCTCTTGAAAATTTTATTTAAATTTGCTGGTCCTCAATCAATTTAATGAAACTTTGCTGGTCCTCAGAAAATTTAAGGAAACTTTGCTGGTCCTCAGAAAATTTAAGGAAACTTTGCTGCTCCTCAGCAAATTTCCAAGGAATTTTCTGAGGACCAGCAAAGTTTTCTGAGGCCGTAGGACCAAAAAGGTTGGGGAACACTGCTCTAAACTCATCAAGAAGCAAGTTAAGGCTCATTATATTTTCAGTTACAATTTCCCGCAATGGTTCATGCTTCATAGCAAGAAAATGTTTGTTGCCTTAATCAAAAACCCGCCTAAGTCAAACCTTCCTGAGTCAGATTTGTTTCCTGGTCCCTAGGAATTAAACTTAGACAGGTTTAACTGTATTTCCAAGAAGGTGTGGATTGAGAAATGAAGATAAGACCAAACTCTGCAATAATCAAGGAACTGTGTGTTCATGTGCTGGGAAAGGAGGCAATAATGCTGAAGCAAAACCAAAGCCTCCAATTGCAGTCCATTCGGAACACAATCGAAGCAGGACATAATCAACTCCACACTGCGGCTCACCAACGTCTCCCCTGAGCCACATTCCCAAAGCGAGGCGCAGTAACACTCAAATCAGCCTTTATTCATAGACAGAAATGATCAACTTTGTTTTATTTATTTTGGGAGATGTGAAAATTGTTTCGAAATTCAACTGCTGGGAATTTGACATTCCAACAGCCCAGTTCTTTTTGTTCCAAATGTACCGACATTTTTTTCAAAAATGTGGGGTTGATCAAAAGTCAACTTCAATTTGCATAAAGAGAAAAAAATGGATGAGGTTCTTTGAAGATTTTTTTTCGTTCCAAATGTACTGTACTGCCATTTTTACAAAAGTGTGGGCTCAAGTCAACTTCAATATGCGCATAAAAAGAGAAAATGGGGCGAGGTTGTTTGAAGATTTTTTATTACATATTCCCCGTGATTTTTCTAATTTCTTGACCGAATGCAAAATATTTGGCTCGATCTAGAAATCTAGTACTGTATCTAGTATATAAGCCTATATTTAACAATAAATACATTTGTCATGTCTGCGATATTAAACTGATTGGCATGTTTTGATTTACACAATATTAGCTGAATCATTCTCCAAGTTCAAAAACAGCGATCTCCCCTCAAAAATATGGATGTGATAAGGACTCGGAAGTTTATTATTTATTATCCCGTTCATCATCTATATCAGCCTCAAATCAACAATGATCACAATTTATGCGTCACATGACTCATTTAATTCTTCATTTTCAAGTTTGTGAGAGTTTGTTTGTTTTTTTTTATACCGGAAATGATGAAATACTGCATACTCAGACAGATTATCGCAGGACATGAATGGTAGTTTGTTTTTTGTTGGATCGTAGTGTTATTGCTCATCACAACACAGCGTGACAAGGTTCCGGAAGTTATTCTTCAGAATATCTTTTGATTCTTGGAAAAAGTGTCATCATGAATGTGAGGAAGTTCAGAAACTTTCGGAAAGCTTCGCGTTCTTACATATGCTGCATTTTTATATATCCGGGAAACATGGGGAGACTCTAATTTGGGACGACAAGGCGTCAGACGAAATAAAAACCACGAGCTCTTTTCCTCTAATTCCAACAGGCAACCCGTACATCATGCGACTGATGCGGAAAAATCATTAAAAAAAAAAAAAAAGGAGACAGGCATCGGAATTTTCTGCGCGCACAAATTGAAATTGAGTCCAGCAGCCCAGGATGTTGGTTCAGTTCCGCAATTCAGACATTCAAAACGTGGAGAATTTTTACCTGAATATTACTCCTATGAATTGGTTCGGGATATGCTCATTGGACGAATGAGACTTGCAATCCTAGTACTGTATTTATTGCGAAGTATTTCATTTGATAAGTATTTCATTTGATAAGTATTTAATTTGGGATACGCTCATTGGACGAATGAGACTTGCAATCCTAGTACTGTATTTATTGCGGAGTATTTAATTTGATGAAGTATTTAATTTGATAATTTGATTTAATTAAGTGTACAATTCAGGTGATCATATAATAGAAAAATATTAGAAAGATTGGTTCCTTCAATTGCCCCTCGTTCCTGAGTTTTTCTACCGACCAATTTTAATCCCTCAGGACAAAAATTAAATAAATAATCTGCATTGAAATCGTGGGTTTCGAGTCGTGCATGCAGTATAGTATGAGAAACATGTCTCAAAAATTGAATCAAACTTTCTCAGTAACCAGAATAAGCCTCGTGTCAATTTTTGAGACACTCCGTCCCCCATAGACATACAGTATTATGCAACATATTATGTCTTTGAATGTCTCCGCAACGTATTATGTCTTTGAATTCTGGCGTTGCTCGGACAGGAAATCAAAAATACTGCACCTCATTAAATTAATTGTTTCATTCCCTCATTGATGGTAAGTGAAGGATATGGAAAATTCAGAAAGTTGAGGGTACGTCAAAATTAAGACAAATCATTCCCAACGATTTAGTGATTGAAACTTTTGGATTGAATACTGCGAGAAAAAAACTTTCAATTATAAATTTCAAGCTAAGTTTGAGTACCAATTGAAGCAGTTCTTTCCAAAGAGTTAGCAGGGAAGATTTGAAATGCATGATGTACAGTACTGTACATCATCTCTACCATGTATTGTTTCTTCCTCAAACGAGGTTGGGACTCATCAAATTTTTAAGACAAGAAAGTCCACCCCGAGCAAATCCTTCATCGTTCTCAACATCCATTAATAACGGGTATCTTCAATATTTTATTCCTGCTTTCATGAAATTCGATGAAGACTTTTCGAAGAACCCAGATCAATCTGAACGCGAGGGAGATTCTTCATCGCCGATCTCGACTGTTTCGCCTCCGCCGGAAGAGCGATTTCATGATGTTGATATTAAATACTTGTCAAAGCCGAAAGTTTGGCCTCAGGTAATTAATTTTAATTGATGTGCTTTAAAAAGAATGATGGCGAAAATATTTTCCATGAGACAGTATTTCATCCTGCGATATTCTTGTCCATTAAAAAAGGCAATAAATGCTACTTGAACTACGCTCGAAGTTTTTCAAAGAAACTTTAGGTTGATAAACTAGTGTAGAATTTCTGAAACATTAAAAAATTGTATTCGCAGCTTTTTTCTTACTGAGATTCCTTTCGGGATTAATCCACTCAAAAACGAATCGTCAAAATCGCCAACTTTTCAATGTACAGCATTTGTGCTAAATTTTATCCGAAATGTCTCGCAGATTTTGGCATCAATGCAGCACTTTACAACTGGATTATTTGGTGGGATCTGCTTTGAATTCACAAGCGTGGCAATTCCATCTTTCATCAAGGATCCCAGAACAGAACCCCTCAACGAAGACTCGATTTCCATGATCGGTAAGCAGGCTTTTTAGGGACAAAAAAAAAAATCCCGAGAAAATTGTTTTCGGGAAGAAAACGAGACATTCATTTTGGACCAGTTAGTTCTTTCTACTTGGGAACAATTTTCGGCTACTTCCTCGGTGCCTACGTCGCGGAAAAATTGCCAAAACGAATCGTTTTGCTCGCAACTTTATTCCCCATGGCGGCTACGTGGACGCCGTTTTTCTTCATCACCCCCGTTGCGTTCATGGTGCTCGGTCGTGTTTTGCAAGGCGTCGTGTTCGGGTAACTTTTGCATTCAATTTTAAATAAACAAGGTAAAAACAACGAAAAATACGTTTTAGCTGAGCAGGACTCGAAGTAATTTTCCACTTAGCTGTTGGAGGAAGAGCGCAGATTTTCATGAGTATTCGAAGTCTACGAACAGCAAGTCTATAATTATTTCAAGTATTTCTCTAAAAAAATTTGAGGTGATTGTCTTACGTGAGGGTGCGAGAATGGTACTTGGGTAAAGACAGTCAGTTTATTTATCCATAATGTTTCACATTTGATTTTTCGAACTAACATTTGTCAATGTTTTAGGAAAATTTTGAAATTTGTTTTTTAAAGGTCGTGGATAGATTTTATTTGTTGGTGAATAAATTACGTAGTTAATCATTCAAAGTCAGCGAATCAGATTTCATAATCGGAATAGTGTTTTGCACTTTTTTCCCCAACACTTAGGCTCTCTCTCCTCTACGCTTGCTTTTTTTGGAGCACATTCTTTTAATCTCATCTGCGTATTTTGAGTAATTAAGCCTGGATATTTAGAGATTAATTCAATGTCTTATGACGCTGTGTTTTTCATTATCATTCAATGAATTGTAATGTATGCATTAGAGCAAGAACGAATTTGAGCCACGCATACATCATGGAAATTGCCGACAAGACCAACAGGGATTGGGCGATTTCCACATATTCCTTGGCCATAAGCGTCGGGACACTGGGAGCAGCATTACTTGGAGAATTCTTGAGGTTATTACTGTGCAAATTCCAATTTCCTTCTCGAGAATGCTGTATTTTTATTGTTCTTGTTGGTGCGAATCAGGTGGGATCATTTGGCAATGATCAGCGCGGGTACGAATATTCTGATTTTCCCACTGATTTACATCTTGCCGGAGACGCCGGTGTACTATGTGCGGAAGGGAGACTCGGATTCGGCGCGCAAATCGTTGACTTGGTACCGAGGGCATTTGTTCAACGTTGATCAGGAATTGACAGAAATCAAGTCTTATTTGTCTGTTGACAAAACGACGTTTTCCTGGAAGAGTCTCACCAAATGGATTCGGCGCGAAAATCGTTGACTTGGTACCGAGGGCATTTGTTCAACGTTGATCAGGAATTGACAGAAATCAAGTCTTATTTGTCTGTTGACAAAACGTCGTTTTCCTGGAAGAGTCTCACCAAAAGAAAGTGGGTTACATTTTATTTTGACCAGTGGGTAAACTCAGAAGCAGGGGTTTTCTTATTCATAGCAAAGAACTGTTACAACGAACCAGCATATTGCTATGACAACTAATTGAAGTTTATTTTCCTTTGTATGATGAAAACAGGTTCTCTTTCAAAATAGTGTATTAAAAAAGATAGTCACCAAAGTATGAAGTGAGCTGCAAGGGGTTCGACTTCGAAAGCAGTTAGTCATTACAAAATAAAGATTGGTATGCTCCTTGTTGTTTATTCTCTTTTTTTATGACAATTGTGTCTTTATATACAGTATATCACTTTATTTTGTTGAAGTACTCTCAAATCTCTTCTAGATATCCCCTGGCTCAAGCAACTGTTGTACCCTCAGCAATTGCCAAATTATTTTGCTAAACAAATCTTCTCTTATGATAATCAAGGGTTTGAAACATATTGTTAGAAGGTCATCAGACATCTGCG